TGAATTTTGCTCGCCTTGTATGGTTGTGTTCACGTGGCCTGGTGGACTGTAGTGGTGTAAAGTCTGTGAGTATGCAGGTATTTTGTAGCGCGTTAGATTGCTCCATCTGCTGCTCGTTGCCGAGTAAGTGCCCTGGCTTCAAAGCACGGGCCTCTGGAGTAGATTGCGATATACTGCTATGAATGTAAAGGGGTCTGACCTTTTGACCCGCAACATGCTCTATCCTCTCTAGCATCACGGAGATGAGAGACGTTTGCAGGACCTGAGCGTGTGGGGCAGCTGCGCAGCTTCTTCGCGAGCATGAAGGCTGCCGGCACGAAGCTGAGCATCATCACCAAGGGCAACGTGGGTGCCTGCCGATATCTGCTGGAGAACGAAGGGCTGCTGCAGTTTTTCGAGCAGGTCTTCGGCATGCTTGGCCAGTTCTACGGTGAGTCCGACTTCGACCGCGCCAACCCTGAGCCGTCTCCGCTGGAAGGCAGCGCTGACTGCGAGCTGCGCGAGTCTAAGGCCAACCTCATCCGCAACTTGATGTCTCGAGCGTCTTTGGGCGTCGACGAGGCGTGCCTGGTTGAGGACGACGCCCAGGAGATAGCATCCGTGCAGGGCATCTGCCGCAGCGTCTTCGTGGCTGAGAGGCGTGGGATGACCGAGAGCGAGATGGATGAGCTGAGACGCCTTGCAGGTGCGAGAGCTTCAGAGGCTGCGGAGGCCAAAGCAGAGGCCAAAGCCTTCAGCAAAGTGGCGCCGAAGGCAGCGCTGATAGCTAAGCCGCAAGCTGCTCCCCCGCCACCTCCGCCAGATGGTTTCAGTGGCATCTGCAAGGTTGGAGGAAAGAGCGTTCCACCCGGCAAGGGGCCTGCGGCACCCGCACCCCCGCCCTCAGGCTTCAGCGGAGTCTTTAAGTCAGGCTCCACCGTGCCAGCTGCCAAGGCTTCGCCAAAGCAAGAGGCTGCCCAGAGTGGAGAGGGCTTGAAGCACGTGTACTTCGACTTCGACCAGACCATCTCCAAGATCCACGTCTTCAAGCAGCTCGCTGGCTGGGAGCCGGGCGTCGACGCGCCGCACGCGCTGTCCGAGCGCGGGCAGATCCACCGACTGAAGATGCTGAATGCGGCACAGTACGCCTACCAGGGAAGCACAGGCACCGTGGTGCCGTGCGCCGCAGGAACACAGGGGGCCTCTTGGACAGCTTGCGCTTTGGGAGGACCGCAAACTGTTTGCATAGCTGGGAGTTCAATGTAGATGTTCGGCGGCTTGGTGCAAGCCTGGCGAGAGCTTCCTTATAGCAGCTCTCTGCGGACGCCCACAAGTTCTACAGTATAGACAGCCTGCTGAATTTGCTCGCCTTCTATGGTTGTGTTCACATGGCCATTGTTGGGGTGTAAAGTCTGTGAGTATGCCGGTTTTTAATCAGTGCCCTGGCTTCAAAGCACGGGCCTCTGAAGTAGATTGCTATATACTGCTATGAAAGGAAAGGGGTCTGACCTTGACCCGCAACATGCTCTATCCTCTCTAGCAGACTCTATCACAGAGATGAGAGACGTTTGCAGGACCTGAGCGTGTGGGGCAGCTGCGCAGCTTCTTCGCGAGCATGAAGGCTGCCGGCACGAAGCTGAGCATCATCACCAAGGGCAACGTGGGTGCCTGCCGATATCTGCTGGAGAACGAAGGGCTGCTGCAGTTCTTCGAGCAGGTCTTCGGCATGCTTGGCCAGTTCTACGGTGAGTCCGACTTCGACCGCGCCAACCCTGAGCCGTCTCCGCTGGAAGGTAGCGTTGACTGCGAGCTGCGCGAGTCTAAGGCCAACCTCATCCGCAACTTGATGTCTCGAGCGTCTTTGGGCGTCGACGAGGCGTGCCTGGTTGAGGACGACGCCCAGGAGATTGCATCCGTGCAGGGCATCTGCCGCAGCGTCTTCGTGGCTGAGAGGCGTGGGATGACCGAGAGCGAGATGGATGAGCTGAGACGCCTTGCAGGTGCGAGAGCTTCAGGGGCTGGTGAGGCCAAAGCAGAGGCCAAAGCCTTCAGCAAAGTGGCGCCGAAGGCAGCGCTGATAGCTAAGCCGCAAGCTGCTCCCCCGCCACCTCCGCCGGATGGCTTCAGTGGCGTCTGCAAGGCTGGAGGAAAGAGCGTTCCACCCGGCAAGGGGCCTGCGGCACCCGCACCCCCGCCCTCAGGTTTCACCGGAGTCTTTAAGTCAGGCTCCACCGTGCCAGCTGCCAAGGCTTCGCCAAAGCAAGAGGCTGCCCAGAGTGGAGGGGGCTTGAAGCACGTGTACTTCGACTTCGACCAGACCATCTCCAAGATCCACGTCTTCAAGCAGCTCGCTGGCTGGGAGCCGGGCGTCGACGCGCCGCACGCGCTGTCCGAGCGCGGGCAGATCCACCGACTGAAGATGCTGAATGCGGCACAGTACGCCTACCAGGGAAGCACAGGCACCGTGGTGCCGTGCGCCGCAGGAACACAGGGGGCCTCTTGGACAGCGTGCGCTTTGGGAGGACCGCAAACTGTTTGCATAGCTGGGAGTTCAATGTAGGTGTTCGGCGGCTTGGTGCAAGCCTGGCGAGAGCTTTCCTTGTAGCAGCTCTCTGTGGACGCCCACAAATTCTACAGTATAGACAGCCTGCTGAATTTGCTCGCCTTCTATGGTTGTGTTCACATGGCCATCGTTGGGGTGTAAAGTCTGTGAGTATGCCGGTTTTTAATCAGTGCCCTGGCTTCAAAGCACGGGCCTCTGAAGTAGATTGCTATATACTGCTATGAAAGGAAAGGGGTCTGACCTTGACCCGCAACATGCTCTATCCTCTCTAGCAGACTCTATCACAGAGATGAGAGACGTTTGCAGGACCTGAGCGTGTGGGGCAGCTGCGCAGCTTCTTCGCGAGCATGAAGGCTGCCGGCACGAAGCTGAGCATCATCACCAAGGGCAACGTGGGTGCCTGCCGATATCTGCTGGAGAACGAAGGGCTGCTGCAGTTCTTCGACCAGGTCTTCGGCATGCTTGGCCAGTTCTACGGTGAGTCCGACTTCGACCGCGCCAACCCTGAGCCGTCTCCGCTGGAAGGTAGCGTTGACTGCGAGCTGCGCGAGTCTAAGGCCAACCTCATCCGCAACTTGATGTCTCGAGCGTCTTTGGGCGTCGACGAGGCGTGCCTGGTTGAGGACGACGCCCAGGAGATTGCATCCGTGCAGGGCATCTGCCGCAGCGTCTTCGTGTCTGAGAGGCGTGGGATGACCGAGAGCGAGATGGATGAGCTGAGACGCCTTGCAGGTGCGAGAGCTTCAGAGGCTGCGGAGGCCAAAGCAGAGGCCAAAGCCTTCAGCAAAGTGGCGCCGAAGGCAGCGCTGATAGCTAAGCCGCAAGCTGCTCCCCCGCCACCTCCGCCAGATGGCTTCAGTGGCGTCTGCAAGGCTGGAGGAAAGAGCGTTCCACCCGGCAAGGGGCCTGCGGCACCCGCACCCCCGCCCTCAGGCTTCAGCGGAGTCTTTAAGTCAGGCTCCACCGTGCCAGCTGCCAAGGCTTCGCCAAAGCAAGAGGCTGCCCAGAGTGGAGGGGGCTTGAAGCACGTGTACTTCGACTTCGACCAGACCATCTCCAAGATCCACGTCTTCAAGCAGCTCGCTGGCTGGGAGCCGGGCGTCGACGCGCCGCACGCGCTGTCCGAGCGCGGGCAGATCCACCGACTGAAGATGCTGAATGCGGCACAGTACGCCTACCAGGGAAGCACAGGCACCGTGGTGCCGTGCGCCGCAGGAACACAGGGGGCCTCTTGGACAGCTTGCGCTTTGGGAGGACTGCAGACTGCTTGTGTACGGACCTGTGAGATTTCAGTTGAGATGTTCGGCAGCTTGTTGCGCCCCAGCAGCTCACGGCGAACATGCAAAAGACATCCTGGTGTCCTCGACATCTGGCTTAGCTTGCCTTTCACACAAAATATCGTGTGAAGTCCACGAATCTGTAAAAGTTCGTGGACGGTGTGTTGGGGTCCACTGGGAACGCATGCAGGCATCATGAGTATCATTTTTATCATCAGATATCATCAAGGGTGGCATTGCTCCGGGTCGCTCGCAGATTTGCAAATGAAGCGCGGTTCCCACATTTGACAAGAGTGCTGTGTTTGGGCCATCGGGAATAACGCGATCGAGCATCATGAGCTCAGGGTGGCACTGTCAAGGGGCGCTTGGAGATTTGCACGGGAAAGCAGGGGTTGTCACAGTTCACAAGAGTACGCTGCGCGGACTCGGACGTCTGCAGACTGCTTAGCTGTGGAGCTGTGAGATGTCATGCAATTAGTCAGTGTCGATTGCAGTGTATAGATGTGCCGGCCTGTTGGGACCTCCCCAAATTCCGCAATAGACGTTCCATCGTGTGTATACAATCGAGATGAGAGATGATTCCAGGACCTGAGCGTGTGGGGCAGCTGCGCAGCTTCTTCGCGAGCATGAAGGCTGCCGGCACGAAGCTGAGCATCATCACCAAGGGCAACGTGGGTGCCTGCCGATATCTGCTGGAGAACGAAGGGCTGCTGCAGTTCTTCGAGCAGGTCTTGGGCATGCTTGGCCAGTTCTACGGCGAGTCCGACTTCGACCGCGCCAACCCTGAGCCGTCTCCGCTGGAAGGCAGCGTTGACTGCGAGCTGCGCGAGTCTAAGGCCAACCTCATCCGCAACTTGATGTCTCGAGCGTCTTTGGGCGTCGACGAGGCGTGCCTGGTTGAGGACGACGCCCAGGAGATTGCATCCGTGCAGGGCATCTGCCGCAGCGTCTTCGTGGCTGAGAGGCGTGGGATGACCGAGAGCGAGATGGATGAGCTGAGACGCCTTGCAGGTGCGAGAGCTTCAGAGGCTGCGGAGGCCAAAGCAGAGGCCAAAGCCTTCAGCAAAGTGGCGCCAAAGGCAGCGCTGATAGCTAAGCCGCAAGCTGCTCCCCCGCCACCTCCGCCAGATGGCTTCAGTGGCGTCTGCAAGGTTGGAGGAAAGAGCGTTCCACCCGGCAAGGGGCCTGCGGCACCCGCGCCCCCGCCCTCAGGCTTCAGCGGAGTCTTTAAGTCAGGCTCCACCGTGCCAGCTGCCAAGGCTTCGCCAAAGCAAGAGGCTGCCCAGAGTGGAGAGGGCTTGAAGCACGTGTACTTCGACTTTGACCAGACCATCTCCAAGATCCACGTCTTCAAGCAGCTCGCTGGCTGGGAGCCGGGCGTCGACGCGCCGCACGCGCTGTCCGAGCGCGGGCAGATCCACCGACTGAAGATGCTGAATGCGGCACAGTACGCCTACCAGGGAAGCACAGGCACCGTGGTGCCGTGCGCCGCAGGAACACAGGGGGCCTCTTGGACAGCTTGCGCTTTGGGAGGACTGCAAACTGTTTGCATAGCTGGGAGTTCAATGTAGATGTTCGGCGGCTTGGTGCAAGCCTGGCGAGAGCTTTCCTTGTAGCAGCTCTCTCTGTGGACGCCCACAAATTCTACAGTATAGACAGCCTGCTGAATTTGCTCGCCTTCTATGGTTGTGTTCACATGGCCATTGTTGGGGTGTAAAGTCCGTGAGTATGCCGGTTTTTAATCAGTGCCCTGGCTTCAAAGCACGGGCCTCTGAAGTAGATTGCTATATACTGCTATGAATGTAAAGGGATCTGACCTTGACCCACAACATGCTCTATCCTCTCTAGCAGACTCTATCACAGAGATGAGAGACGTTTGCAGGACCTGAGCGTGTGGGGCAGCTGCGCAGCTTCTTCGCGAGCATGAAGGCTGCCGGCACGAAGCTGAGCATCATCACCAAGGGCAACGTGGGTGCCTGCCGATATCTGCTGGAGAACGAAGGGCTGCTGCAGTTCTTCGACCAGGTCTTCGGCATGCTTGGCCAGTTCTACGGTGAGTCCGACTTCGACCGCGCCAACCCTGAGCCGTCTCCGCTGGAAGGCAGCGCTGACTGCGAGCTGCGCGAGTCTAAGGCCAACCTCATCCGCAACTTGATGTCTCGAGCGTCTTTGGGCGTCGACGAGGCGTGCCTGGTTGAGGACGACGCCCAGGAGATAGCATCCGTGCAGGGCATCTGCCGCAGCGTCTTCGTGTCTGAGAGGCGTGGGATGACCGAGAGCGAGATGGATGAGCTGAGACGCCTTGCAGGTGCGAGAGCTTCAGAGGCTGCGGAGGCCAAAGCAGAGGCCAAAGCCTTCAGCAAAGTGGCGCCGAAGGCAGCGCTGATAACTAAGCCGCAAACCGCTCCCCCGCCACCTCCACCGGATGGCTTCAGTGGCATCTGCAAGGTTGGAGGAAAGAGCGTTCCACCCGGCAAGGGGCCTGTGGCACCCGCGCCCCCGCCCTCAGGTTTCAGCGGAGTCTTTAAGTCAGGCTGCACCGTGCCAGCTGCCAAGGCTTCGCCAAAGCAAGAGGCTGCCCAGAGTGGAGGGGGCTTGAAGCACGTGTACTTCGACTTTGACCAGACCATCTCCAAGATCCACGTCTTCAAGCAGCTCGCTGGCTGGGAGCCGGGCGTCGACGCGCCGCACGCGCTGTCGGAGCGCGGGCAGATCCACCGACTGAAGATGCTGAATGCGGCACAGTACGCCTACCAGGGAAGCACAGGCACCGTGGTGCCGTGCGCCGCAGGAACACAGGGGGCCTCTTGGACAGCTTGCGCTTTGGGAGGACTGCAAACTGTTTGCATAGCTGGGAGTTCAATGTAGATGTTCGGCGGCTTGGTGCAAGCCTGGCGAGAGCTTTCCTTGTAGCAGCTCTCTGCGGGCACCCACAAGTTCTACAGGATAGACAGCCTGCTGAATTTTGCTCGCCTTCCATGGTTGTGTTCGTTGCCTTTGTTGGGGTGTAAAGTCCGTGAGTATACAGGTATTTGGTAGCGCGTTACATTGCTCCATCTATGCATTGCCTAGAAAACATTCCCTGGCTTCAACGCACGGGCCTCTGGAACAGACAGCTTTGAATGTAAAGGGGTCTGACATGGTCTGACCCTTGACCACGACATGCTTTATCGTCTCATATCGTCGTCTCTATCGGACTCTATCACAGAGATGTGAGATGTTTGCAGGACCTGAGCGTGTGGGGCAGCTGCGCTTCTTCTTCGCGAGCATGAAGGCTGCCGGCACGAAGCTGAGCATCATCACCAAGGGCAACGTGGGTGCCTGCCGATATCTGCTGGAGAACGAAGGGCTGCTGCAGTTCTTCGAGCAGGTCTTCGGCATGCTTGGCCAGTTCTACGGCGAGTCCGACTTCGACCGCGCCAACCCTGAGCCGTCTCCGCTGGAAGGCAGCGCTGACTGCGAGCTGCGCGAGTCTAAGGCCAACCTCATCCGCAACTTGATGTCTCGAGCGTCTTTGGGCGTCGACGAAGCGTGCCTGGTTGAGGACGACGCCCAGGAGATAGCATCCGTGCAGGGCATCTGCCGCAGCGTCTTCGTGGCTGAGAGGCGTGGGATGACCGAGAGCGAGATGGATGAGCTGAGACGCCTTGCAGGTGCGAGAGCTTCAGAGGCTGCGGAGGCCAAAGCAGAGGCCAAAGCCTTCAGCAAAGTGGCGCCGAAGGCAGCGCTGATAGCTAAGCCGCAAGCTGCTCCCCCGCCACCTCCGCCAGATGGCTTCAGTGGCGTCTGCAAGGCTGGAGGAAAGAGCGTTCCACCCGGCAAGGGGCCTGTGGCACCCGCGCCCCCGCCCTCAGGCTTCAGCGGAGTCTTTAAGTCAGGCTCCACCGTGCCAGCTGCCAAGGCTTCGCCAAAGCAAGAGGCTGCCCAGAGTGGAGGGGGCTTGAAGCACGTGTACTTCGACTTTGACCAGACCATCTCCAAGATCCACGTCTTCAAGCAGCTCGCTGGCTGGGAGCCGGGCGTCGACGCGCCGCACGCGCTGTCCGAGCGCGGGCAGATCCACCGACTGAAGATGCTGAATGCGGCACAGTGCGCCTACCAGGGAAGCACAGGCACCGTGGTACCGTGCGCCGCAGGAACACAGGGGGCCTCTTGGACAGCTTGCGCTTTGGGAGGACTGCAAACTGTTTGCATAGCTGGGAGTTCAATGTAGCTGTTCGGTGGCTTGGTGCAAGCCTGGCCTGGCGAGAGCTTTCCTTGTAGCAGCTCTCTGCGGGCACCCACAAGTTCTACAGGATAGACAGCCTGCTGAATTTTGCTCGCCTTGTCTGGTTGTGTTCACGTGGCCTGGTGGACTGTAGTGGTGTAAAGTCTGTGAGTATGCAGGTATTTTGTAGCGCGTTAGATTCCTCCATCTGCTGCTCGTTGCCGAGTAAATGCCCTGGCTTCAAAGCACGGGCCTCTGGAGTAGATTGCTATATACTGCTATGAATGTAAAGGGGTCTGACCTTTTGACCCGCAACATGCTCTATCCTCTCTAGCAGACTCTATCACAGAGATGAGAGACGTTTGCAGGACCTGAGCGTGTGGGGCAGCTGCGCAGCTTCTTCGCGAGCATGAAGGCTGCCGGCACGAAGCTGAGCATCATCACCAAGGGCAACGTGGGTGCCTGCCGATATCTGCTGGAGAACGAAGGGCTGCTGCAGTTCTTCGAGCAGGTCTTCGGCATGCTTGGCCAGTTCTACGGTGAGTCCGACTTCGACCGCGCCAACCCTGAGCCGTCTCCGCTGGAAGGCAGCGCTGACTGCGAGCTGCGCGAGTCTAAGGCCAACCTCATCCGCAACTTGATGTCTCGAGCGTCTTTGGGCGTCGACGAGGCGTGCCTGGTTGAGGACGACGCCCAGGAGATAGCATCCGTGCAGGGCATCTGCCGCAGCGTCTTCGTGGCTGAGAGGCGTGGGATGACCGAGAGCGAGATGGATGAGCTGAGACGCCTTGCAGGTGCGAGAGCTTCAGAGGCTGCGGAGGCCAAAGCAGAGGCCAAAGCCTTCAGCAAAGTGGCGCCGAAGGCAGCGCTGATAGCTAAGCCGCAAGCTGCTCCCCCGCCACCTCCGCCGGATGGCTTCAGTGGCGTCTGCAAGGCTGGAGGAAACAGCGTTCCACCCGGCAAGGGGCCTGCGGCACCCGCACCCCCGCCCTCAGGCTTCAGCGGAGTCTTTAAGTCAGGCTCCACCGTGCCAGCTGCCAAGGCTTCGCCAAAGCAAGAGGCTGCCCAGAGTGGAGGGGGCTTGAAGCACGTGTACTTCGACTTCGACCAGACCATCTCCAAGATCCACGTCTTCAAGCAGCTCGCTGGCTGGGAGCCGGGCGTCGACGCGCCGCACGCGCTGTCCGAGCGCGGGCAGATCCACCGACTGAAGATGCTGAATGCGGCACAGTGCGCCTACCAGGGAAGCACAGGCACCGTGGTGCCGTGCGCCGCAGGAACACAGGGGGCCTCTTGGACAGCTTGCGCGTTGGGAGGACTGCAAACTGTTTGCATAGCTGGGAGTTCAATGTAGGTGTTCGGCGGCTTGGTGCAAGCCTGGCGAGAGCTTTCCTTGCTCTCTGCGGGCACCCACAAGTTCTACAGGATAGACAGCCTGCTGAATTTTGCTCGCCTTCTGTGGTTGTGTTCGTGGCCTTTGTTGCAGGTATTTGGTAGCGTGTTAGATTGCTCCATCTGCTCATTGCCTATAAAATATTCCCTGGCTTCAGTCTGTCCCGTGACCACGACATGCTTTATCGTCTCATATCGTCTCTATCAGACTCTATCACAGAGATGTGAGATGTTTGCAGGACCTGAGCGTGTGGGGCAGCTGCGCTTCTTCTTCGCCAGCATGAAGGCTGCCGGCACGAAGCTGAGCATCATCACCAAGGGCAACGTGGGTGCCTGCCGATATCTGCTGGAGAACGAAGGGCTGCTGCAGTTCTTCGAGCAGGTCTTCGGCATGCTTGGCCAGTTCTACGGTGAGTCCGACTTCGACCGCGCCAACCCTGAGCCGTCTCCGCTGGAAGGCAGCGCTGACTGCGAGCTGCGCGAGTCCAAGGCCAACCTCATCCGCAACTTGATGTCTCGAGCGTCTTTGGGCATCGGCGAGGCGTGCCTGGTTGAGGACGACGCCCAGGAGATAGCATCCGTACAGGGCATCTGCCGCAGCGTCTTCGTGGCCGAGAGGCGTGGGATGACCGAGAGCGAGATGGACGAGCTGCGGTGCCTGGCAGGATCTCCACACGAACCAGCCATGGAAGCCTCCACGTCCCCTGCGAGATGTGAAGAGGACGTACCCGGAGGTGATGGCGGCTCCCGCAAAGAGCATGAAGCCACTGTTGGGAAGCAGGTTATGCTTTCCAAATCCGTGCTCCCCGTTGCGGAGACAGAGCCCAAGGCCAAGGCGGCACACGCTCTGGACGGCACCTTGGGAGCCCATAAGGCTGAGGACAGTCTCCCACCGCAAGAACCAAAGAGTGTGAAGCACGTGTACTTCGACTTCGATCAGACCATCTCCAAGATTCACGTCTTCAAGCAGCTCGCTGGGTGGGAGCCGGGCGTGCGCCCGCCTCATGCTTTGTCGGAGCGCGGGCAGATCCACCGATTGAAGATGCTGAACGAGGCTGGCCCTGCCTACGTCCACGACGGGAACGGCGTGCAGGTGGTGCAGGGCTCGACAGGCTCCGCTGCTTCGTGGACGGCCTGCTCGCTGGGAGGACCGAGAGTCTATGACCGTCCATGCAACGCAGGTACTGTTCAGGCTGCAACCCACGTTGTTTGCTGTCCGTCGTTTGTGAAGGCTTTGGGTCAGAGTCCACACAGCGTGCTCAAACAAAAACATCTGTCTTCGTTGTCTGGGCTGACGTGTTGCCATTCTTTATGTTTCATGTATGCTCTCTGCGAGGACCCGAGCGTGTGGAGCAGCTTCGCAGCTTCTTCGCCAGCCTGAAGGCTGCCGGCACGAAGCTGAGCATCATCACCAAGGGCAACGTGGGTGCCTGCCGATATCTGCTGGAGAACGAAGGGCTGCTGCAGTTCTTCGAGCAGGTCTTCGGCATGCTTGGCCAGTTCTACGGTGAGTCCGACTTCGACCGCGCCAACCCTGAGCCGTCTCCGCTGGAAGGCAGCGCTGACTGCGAGCTGCGCGAGTCCAAGGCCAACCTCATCCGCAACTTGATGTCTCGAGCGTCTTTGGGCATCGGCGAGGCGTGCCTGGTTGAGGACGACGCCCAGGAGATAGCATCCGTACAGGGCATCTGCCGCAGCGTCTTCGTGGCCGAGAGGCGTGGGATGACCGAGAGCGAGATGGACGAGCTGCGGTGCCTGGCAGGATCTCCACACGAACCAGCCATGGAAGCCTCCACGTCCCCTGCGAGATGTGAAGAGGACGTACCCGGAGGTGATGGCGGCTCCCGCAAAGAGCATGAAGCCACTGTTGGGAAGCAGGTTATGCTTTCCAAATCCGTGCTCCCCGTTGCGGAGACAGAGCCCAAGGCCAAGGCGGCACACGCTCTGGACGGCACCTTGGGAGCCCATAAGGCTGAGGACAGTCTCCCACCGCAAGAACCAAAGAGTGTGAAGCACGTGTACTTCGACTTCGATCAGACCATCTCCAAGATTCACGTCTTCAAGCAGCTCGCTGGGTGGGAGCCGGGCGTGCGCCCGCCTCATGCTTTGTCGGAGCGCGGGCAGATCCACCGATTGAAGATGCTGAACGAGGCTGGCCCTGCCTACGTCCACGACGGGAACGGCGTGCAGGTGGTGCAGGGCTCGACAGGCTCCGCTGCTTCGTGGACGGCCTGCTCGCTGGGAGGACCGAGAGTCTATGACCGTCCATGCAAGGCAGGTACTGTTCAGGCTGCAACCCACGTTGTTTGCTGTCCGTCGTTTGTGAAGGCTTTGGGTCAGAGTCCACACAGCGTGCTCAAACAAAAACATCTGTCTTCGTTGTCTGGGCTGACGTGTTGCCATTCTTTATGTTTCATGTATGCTCTCTGCGAGGACCCGAGCGTGTGGAGCAGCTTCGCAGCTTCTTCGCCAGCCTGAAGGCTGCCGGCACGAAGCTGAGCATCATCACCAAGGGCAACGTGGGTGCCTGCCGATATCTGCTGGAGAACGAAGGGCTGCTGCAGTTCTTCGAGCAGGTCTTCGGCATGCTTGGCCAGTTCTACGGTGAGTCCGACTTCGACCGCGCCAACCCTGAGCCGTCTCCGCTGGAAGGCAGCGCTGACTGCGAGCTGCGCGAGTCCAAGGCCAACCTCATCCGCAACTTGATGTCTCGAGCGTCTTTGGGCGTCGGCGAGGCGTGCCTGGTTGAGGACGACGCCCAGGAGATAGCATCCGTACAGGGCATCTGCCGCAGCGTCTTCGTGGCCGAGAGGCGTGGGATGACCGAGAGCGAGATGGACGAGCTGCGGTGCCTGGCAGGATCTCCACACGAACCAGCCATGGAAGCCTCCACGTCCCCTGCGAGATGTGAAGAGGACGTACCCGGAGGTGATGGCGGCTCCCGCAAAGAGCATGAAGCCACTGTTGGGAAGCAGGTTATGCTTTCCAAATCCGTGCTCCCCGTTGCGGAGACAGAGCCCAAGGCCAAGGCGGCACACGCTCTGGACGGCACCTTGGGAGCCCATAAGGCTGAGGACAGTCTCCCACCGCAAGAACCAAAGAGTGTGAAGCACGTGTACTTCGACTTCGATCAGACCATCTCCAAGATTCACGTCTTCAAGCAGCTCGCTGGGTGGGAGCCGGGCGTGCGCCCGCCTCATGCTTTGTCGGAGCGCGGGCAGATCCACCGATTGAAGATGCTGAACGAGGCTGGCCCTGCCTACGTCCACGACGGGAACGGCGTGCAGGTGGTGCAGGGCTCGACAGGCTCCGCTGCTTCGTGGACGGCCTGCTCGCTGGGAGGACCGAGAGTCTATGACCGTCCATGCAACGCAGGTACTGTTCAGGCTGCAACCCACGTTGTTTGCTGTCCGTCGTTTGTGAAGGCTTTGGGTCAGAGTCCACACAGCGTGCTCAAACAAAAACATCTGTCTTCGTTGTCTGGGCTGACGTGTTGCCATTCTTTATGTTTCATGTATGCTCTCTGCGAGGACCCGAGCGTGTGGAGCAGCTTCGCAGCTTCTTCGCCAGCCTGAAGGCTGCCGGCACGAAGCTGAGCATCATCACCAAGGGCAACGTGGGTGCCTGCCGATATCTGCTGGAGAACGAAGGGCTGCTGCAGTTCTTCGAGCAGGTCTTCGGCATGCTTGGCCAGTTCTACGGTGAGTCCGACTTCGACCGCGCCAACCCTGAGCCGTCTCCGCTGGAAGGCAGCGCTGACTGCGAGCTGCGCGAGTCCAAGGCCAACCTCATCCGCAACTTGATGTCTCGAGCGTCTTTGGGCATCGGCGAGGCGTGCCTGGTTGAGGACGACGCCCAGGAGATAGCATCCGTACAGGGCATCTGCCGCAGCGTCTTCGTGGCCGAGAGGCGTGGGATGACCGAGAGCGAGATGGACGAGCTGCGGTGCCTGGCAGGATCTCCACACGAACCAGCCATGGAAGCCTCCACGTCCCCTGCGAGATGTGAAGAGGACGTACCCGGAGGTGATGGCGGCTCCCGCAAAGAGCATGAAGCCACTGTTGGGAAGCAGGTTATGCTTTCCAAATCCGTGCTCCCCGTTGCGGAGACAGAGCCCAAGGCCAAGGCGGCACACGCTCTGGACGGCACCTTGGGAGCCCATAAGGCTGAGGACAGTCTCCCACCGCAAGAACCAAAGAGTGTGAAGCACGTGTACTTCGACTTCGATCAGACCATCTCCAAGATTCACGTCTTCAAGCAGCTCGCTGGGTGGGAGCCGGGCGTGCGCCCGCCTCATGCTTTGTCGGAGCGCGGGCAGATCCACCGATTGAAGATGCTGAACGAGGCTGGCCCTGCCTACGTCCACGACGGGAACGGCGTGCAGGTGGTGCAGGGCTCGACAGGCTCCGCTGCTTCGTGGACGGCCTGCTCGCTGGGAGGACCGAGAGTCTATGACCGTCCATGCAACGCAGGTACTGTTCAGGCTGCAACCCACGTTGTTTGCTGTCCGTCGTTTGTGAAGGCTTTGGGTCAGAGTCCACACAGCGTGCTCAAACAAAAACATCTGTCTTCGTTGTCTGGGCTGACGTGTTGCCATTCTTTATGTTTCATGTATGCTCTCTGCGAGGACCCGAGCGTGTGGAGCAGCTTCGCAGCTTCTTCGCCAGCCTGAAGGCTGCCGGCACGAAGCTGAGCATCATCACCAAGGGCAACGTGGGTGCCTGCCGATATCTGCTGGAGAACGAAGGGCTGCTGCAGTTCTTCGAGCAGGTCTTCGGCATGCTTGGCCAGTTCTACGGTGAGTCCGACTTCGACCGCGCCAGCCCTGAGCCGTCTCCGCTGGAAGGCAGCGCTGACTGCGAGCTGCGCGAGTCCAAGGCCAACCTCATCCGCAACTTGATGTCTCGAGCGTCTTTGGGCGTCGGCGAGGCGTGCCTGGTTGAGGACGACGCCCAGGAGATAGCATCCGTACAGGGCATCTGCCGCAGCGTCTTCGTGGCCGAGAGGCGTGGGATGACCGAGAGCGAGATGGATGAGCTGAGACGCCTTGCCGGTGCAACAGCTTCAGAGGCGGCGGAGGCCAAAGCCTTCAGCAAAGTGGCGCCGAAGGCAGCGCTGACAGCGAAGCCGCAAGCTGCTCCCCCGCCACCTCCGCCAGATGGCTTCAGTGGCGTCTGCAAGGTTGGAGGAAAGAGCGTTCCACCCGGCAAGGGGCCTGCGGCACCCGCGCCGCCGCCCTCAGGTTTCAGCGGAGTCTTTAAGTCAGGCTCCACCGTGCCAGCTGCCAAGGCTTCGCCAAAGCAAGAGGCTGCCCAGAGTGGAGAGGGCTTGAAGCACGTGTACTTCGACTTCGACCAGACCATCTCCAAGATCCACGTCTTCAAGCAGCTCGCTGGCTGGGAGCCGGGCGTCGACGCGCCGCACGCGCTGTCCGAGCGCGGGCAGATCCACCGACTGAAGATGCTGAACGAGGCTGGCCCCGCCTACGTCTACGACGGGAACGGCGTGCAGGAGGTGCAGGGCTCGACAGGCTCCACTGCTTCGTGGACGGCCTGCTCGCTGGGAGGACCGAGAGTCTATGACCGTCCATGCAACGCAGGTACTGTTCAGGCTGCAACCCACGTTGTTTGCTGTCCGTCGTTTGTGAGGGCTTTGGGTCAGAGTCCACACAGCGTGCTCAAACAAAAACATCTGTCTTCGTTGTCTGGGCTGACGTGTTGCCATTCTTTATGTTTCATGTATGCTCTCTGCGAGGACCCGAGCGTGTGGAGCAGCTGCGCAGCTTCTTCGCGAGCATGAAGGCTGCCGGCACGAAGCTGAGCATCATCACCAAGGGCAACGTGGGTGCCTGCCGATATCTGCTGGAGAACGAAGGGCTGCTGCAGTTCTTCGAGCAGGTCTTCGGCATGCTTGGCCAGTTCTACGGTGAGTCCGACTTCGACCGCGCCAACCCTGAGCCGTCTCCGCTGGAAGGCAGCGCTGACTGCGAGCTGCGCGAGTCCAAGGCCAACCTCATCCGCAACTTGATGTCTCGAGCGTCTTTGGGCGTCGACGAGGCGTGCCTGGTTGAGGACGACGCCCAGGAGATAGCATCCGTACAGGGCATCTGCCGCAGCGTCTTCGTGGCCGAGAGGCGTGGGATGACCGAGAGCGAGATGGATGAGCTGAGACGCCTTGCCGGTGCAACAGCTTCAGAGGCGGCGGAGGCCAAAGCCTTCAGCAAAGTGGCGCCGAAGGCAGCGCTGACAGCGAAGCCGCAAGCTGCTCCCCCGCCACCTCCGCCAGATGGCTTCAGTGGCGTCTGCAAGGTTGGAGGAAAGAGCGTTCCACCCGGCAAGGGGCCTGCGGCACCCGCGCCGCCGCCCTCAGGTTTCAGCGGAGTCTTTAAGTCAGGCTCCACCGTGCCAGCTGCCAAGGCTTCGCCAAAGCAAGAGGCTGCCCAGAGTGGAGAGGGCTTGAAGCACGTGTACTTCGACTTCGACCAGACCGTCTCCAAGATCCACGTCTTCAAGCAGCTCGCTGGCTGGGAGCCGGGCGTCGACGCGCCGCACGCGCTGTCCGAGCGCGGGCAGATCCACCGACTGAAGATGCTGAACGAGGCTGGTCCTGCCTACGTCTACGACGGAAACGGCGTGCAGGTGGTGCATGGCTCGACAGGCTCCACTGCTTCGTGGACGGCCTGCTCGCTGGGAGGACCGAGAGTCTATGACCGTCCATGCAACGCAGGTACTGTTCAGGCTGCAACCCACGTTGTTTGCTGTCCGTCGTTTGTGAGGGCTTTGGGTCAGAGTCCACACAGCGTGCTCAAACAAAAACATCTGTCTTCGTTGTCTGGGCTGACGTGTTGCCATTCTTTATGTTTCATGTATGCTCTCTGCGAGGACCCGAGCGTGTGGAGCAGCTTCGCAGCTTCTTCGCCAGCCTGAAGGCTGCCGGCACGAAGCTGAGCATCATCACCAAGGGCAACGTGGGTGCCTGCCGATATCTGCTGGAGAACGAAGGGCTGCTGCAGTTCTTCGAGCAGGTCTTCGGCATGCTTGGCCAGTTCTACGGTGAGTCCGACTTCGACCGCGCCAACCCTGAGCCGTCTCCGCTGGAAGGCAGCGCTGACTGCGAGCTGCGCGAGTCCAAGGCCAACCTCATCCGCAACTTGATGTCTCGAGCGTCTTTGGGCGTCGGCGAGGCGTGCCTGGTTGAGGACGACGCCCAGGAGATAGCATCCGTACAGGGCATCTGCCGCAGCGTCTTCGTGGCCGAGAGGCGTGGGATGACCGAGAGCGAGATGGATGAGCTGAGACGCCTTGCCGGTGCAACAGCTTCAGAGGCGGCGGAGGCCAAAGCCTTCAGCAAAGTGGCGCCGAAGGCAGCGCTGACAGCGAAGCCGCAAGCTGCTCCCCCGCCACCTCCGCCAGATGGCTTCAGTGGCGTCTGCAAGGTTGGAGGAAAGAGCGTTCCACCCGGCAAGGGGCCTGCGGCACCCGCGCCGCCGCCCTCAGGTTTCAGCGGAGTCTTTAAGTCAGGCTCCACCGTGCCAGCTGCCAAGGCTTCGCCAAAGCAAGAGGCTGCCCAGAGTGGAGAGGGCTTGAAGCACGTGTACTTCGACTTCGACCAGACCGTCTCCAAGATCCACGTCTTCAAGCAGCTCGCTGGCTGGGAGCCGGGCGTCGACGCGCCGCACGCGCTGTCCGAGCGGGGGCAGATCCACCGACTGAAGATGCTGAACGAGGCTGGCCCTGCCTACGTCTACGACGGGAACGGCGTGCAGGTGGTGCATGGCTCGACAGGCTCCACTGCTTCGTGGACGGCCTGCTCGCTGGGAGGACCGAGAGTCTATGACCGTCCATGCAACGCAGGTACTGTTCAGGCTGCAACCCACGTTGTTTGCTGTCCGTCGTTTGTGAGGGCTTTGGGTCAGAGTCCACACAGCGTGCTCAAACAAAAACATCTGTCTTCGTTGTCTGGGCTGACGTGTTGCCATTCTTTATGTTTCATGTATGCTCTCTGCGAGGACCCGAGCGTGTGGAGCAGCTTCGCAGCTTCTTCGCCAGCCTGAAGGCTGCCGGCACGAAGCTGAGCATCATCACCAAGGGCAACGTGGGTGCCTGCCGATATCTGCTGGAGAACGAAGGGCTGCTGCAGTTCTTCGAGCAGGTCTTCGGCATGCTTGGCCAGTTCTACGGTGAGTCCGACTTCGACCGCGCCAACCCTGAGCCGTCTCCGCTGGAAGGCAGCGCTGACTGCGAGCTGCGCGAGTCCAAGGCCAACCTCATCCGCAACTTGATGTCTCGAGCGTCTTTGGGCGTCGACGAGGCGTGCCTGGTTGAGGACGACGCCCAGGAGATAGCATCCGTACAGGGCATCTGCCGCAGCGTCTTCGTGGCCGAGAGGCGTGGGATGACCGAGAGCGAGATGGATGAGCTGAGACGCCTTGCCGGTGCAACAGCTTCAGAGGCGGCGGAGGCCAAAGCCTTCAGCAAAGTGGCGCCGAAGGCAGCGCTGATAGCTAAGCCGCAAGCTGCTCCCCCGCCACCTCCGCCGGATGGCTTCAGTGGCGTCTGCAAGGTTGGAGGAAAGAGCGTTCCACCCGGCAAGGGGCCTGCGGCACCCGCGCCGCCGCCCTCAGGTTTCAGCGGAGTCTTTAAGTCAGGCTCCACCGTGCCAGCTGCCAAGGCTTCGCCAAAGCAAGAGGCTGCCCAGAGTGGAGAGGGCTTGAAGCACGTGTACTTCGACTTCGACCAGACCGTCTCCAAGATCCACGTCTTCAAGCAGCTCGCTGGCTGGGAGCCGGGCGTCGACGCGCCGCACGCGCTGTCCGAGCGCGGGCAGATCCACCGACTGAAGATGCTGAATGCGGCACAGTACGCCTACCAGGGAAGCACAGGCACTGTGGTGCTGTGCGCCACCGGAACACAGGGGGCCTCTTGGACAGCTTGCGCTTTGGGAGGACCGGTCACGGTTAAGTTTTCTTTCTGAGGCACGGTGCATTCTTTCACAAGTTCTGCAGCGTTTCGCCACTGTCGTCAACAACTTGCGACATCTTGCTACTCACTAGAGCAGATTCTAAGACGTACTCCAAGTACTCCCCACTCCCGAAAAGCTTGGCTGTGCGACAGGCACAGCACAGCAAAAGAGTATTAACTTGGACTTGACCTGAACATCACAACATCGATGACTGACCTCTTGCCCTGAAGGGAGCTTAAGCTTGGGAGTGAGAGAGAACCAAACTTTCCGGATCCAATGAAGGGGCCTCCTCCGCTTGGGCGGAGTTCGGCCTCCCCGTCCCAATCCCCACAGCACCACCTATACCACCTCAATGTCTTTCATGAGTTCAGCTGAGATGTTTTCGAAAGGGACAGTATTGGATCGCATTAAATACCGCCAGAAAGGATCCATTTGCGCATTCTTGAGCCCAGAACCTGAGACAGAATTTCTCTCCGGAAAGATTTACAAAACCCGGCTCAGAACCTTTTACTTCGGTGGGCCAAGCTTTGGCCACGATTGAGAGTTGCGAGGCTTCAGCAGAACTGCAACAGTCTTCACAGTATGTGACAGCACTTGCAGATAACTTTTGCAACCGACCACAAGGACCCGAGCGCGTGAGGCGGCTTCACAGCTTCTTCGCCAGCCTGAAGGCTGCCGGCACGAAGCTGAGCATCATCACCAAGGGCAACGTGGGTGCCTGCCGATATCTCCTGGAGAACGAAGGGCTGCTGCAGTTCTTCGAGCAGGTCTTCGGCATGCTTGGCCAGTTCTACGGTGAGTCCGACTTCGACCGCGCCAACCCTGAGCCGTCTCCGCTGGAAGGCAGCGCTGACTGCGAGCTGTGCGAGTCCAAGGCCAACCTCATCCGCAACTTGATGTCTCGAGCGTCTTTGGGCGTCGACGAGGCGTGCCTGGTTGAGGACGACGCCCAGGAGATAGCATCCGTACAGGGCATCTGCCGCAGCGTCTTCGTGGCCGAGAGGCGTGGGATGACCGAGAGCGAGATGGACGAGCTGCGGTGCCTGGCAGGATCTCCACACGAACCAGCCATGGAAGCCTCCACGTCCCCTGTCACCTCAGCACACACTTCTTGCGAACCCGATGTTCCTGAAGGCGACGAGAGCCCTCGCAAAGAGACGGAATCCTTCGAAGCTGTTGTGAAGGTTGTGCCGGTTCCTGCACCGCTGGCGCTTTCCATGGTCCCCGTGGAGACACGGGCATCACAGGTTCTGCAGGCCTCACAAGACTCAGAAGCAGAGTCCTTCGAAGCCATGGCTCGGCTTGCGAGTGGCGGTGCATCCCTCCGGAGCCCCCTCGCCAAGAGTGGCAAGGGTGCCAAGGGCGTCAAGGGCAAGGAAGGGAAAGGACCGACCTTTGCACAGGCGCTTGTCCACAATCTTCATCTCTCTCTTTCGTTCTTCCTTTCTTTCTCTCTCTCTCTCTCTCTCTGTCTCTCTTTCTCTCTTTCTCTCTCGCTTTCTCTCTCTCTCTCTCTCTCTCTCTCTCTCTCTCTCTCTCTTGCTCTTGTGAGCCCTATAGTGCGTGTTTGTTTGCTTTGCCAGCGTGTGCGCCGGAAAGGGGAGCATCAGCCCCGGCGCTTCGCCAGCTGCCGCTGCTGCAGCGGCAGCAAGAGAGGCTGCCGCAGGCGCTGGGTCCTCCAAGCTGCGAGCTCAGTAGTGAACGGAGCTCATTTGCCAGGTGCCGTTGCCGCCGCTGCCGAGGCCGAGGCTCTTGCCTTAGGCTCAGACTTTTGTTGCAGTTGCATGTGTTTGCTGCGAATCATGTGCTGGGGTGATCTCGTGCCTGCGTTCCGAGTCTTCTCAGGCACAGCGGTGTCTCGTCATGGCGACCAAGACCTCCGGAATTCAAACCTCAGACGGTTGGCCTGGCATGTGGCTCATTATCATGTGTTTGCTGTGCCGGGCTTGAGACAACATGGCCAGAGGCCCACCGGCCCCGGTGCCCTCGGTGCCCTCGGCGCCCTCGGCGCCCTCGCCCCGACGGGTCCTGCGTGCAGGTGAAGCCGAGAGCTGCCGCGAGAGCTGCGAAAGATGTATCGCGCTCCTCTGCAGCTTCTATTGGTCTTTTCCTGACAGGTCCTCACTGGGGCTCCTCGGTAGCGGGGGCCTAAGTTGTGCACGGCTGTGTCCCAGCCTCCTAGACCAATATAGGCTAGATCTTTGTATGTGCAGGCGACGGGCTTCGAGGGCTTTGAGAGTGCCTCGGCTCCCTCGGCATTGTTTTTCTCATGATTGTCCTTTCTCTCTGTTCTTTCAAAACAAAAACGGGGGCAAATAATGGCAAACGTATGGTTGGTGAGAGTTCGAATCAATCCGGCATCGCAGGGCACTCCCTCGAGGCCTCCGACTCATTTGACCCTGCCCCCCGCAGCCGGCGGAGGCACAGCGAGGCCCCTCTGAGTGGGCTCAACAAATCAGAAAGAGCCTGAAGGAAAAGAGAAAGCAAGCAAAAAGCCGACCATTTCTCTCTGGATATACTGGAAACCACTTAACATTAATAAAAAGAGATGTGAGAAGAAGACAGAACTAATTCTAAGGTGTAATAATGGTGGATTTCCAAGATATGTAAAAAGCCAATTAAAGATTTTTGTACCAGTTGGTAAGGATATTAAGATTGTAACTCCTGTAAAATAAGCTCTTGTATCACTTTCTAAACCTACAGTATACATATGATGCCCCCAAACAAGACTTCCAAGAAGAGAAATAGATGACATGGCAAAGATCATTGATTGGTTACCAAAGATTATTAATTGTAAAATCCCAGAAATTATTATGGAAATGATCCCAAATGCAGGAATTATTAAGATGTAAACTTCTGGATGTCCAAGAAGCCAAAATAAATGTTGATAGAATATAGGATCTCCTCCAAATATAGGATCAAAGAAAAGTGTATTAGAATGAAGATCACCCAATATTAAAAGAAGTGTACCAGATAAGATTGGTAATGTTAATAAAAGCATGAAAGCTGTAATCAAGAAAGCCCAAGGAAATAATGGGATAGTCTTTAATGTCAGATAATAAGATCTCAGATTTAGAATTGTTGTCCAAAAGTTAAGAGATGTAAGACATGAAGATATACCAGAGATTAATAATCCAAATATAAGATTTCCTGTACTTGAAGGTGATAAAGTCATAAAAGAAGTGGATAATGGTGGAAAAAATGTTCATCCTGTACCACCTCCAAATTCTGAGATTATAGAAAGGATTAGGAAAAGATATGAAAGTAAAAGAATTAAGATAGAAAAATTATTGACTCTAGGATATACCACTTCTGGAGACCCTTGAAAGATAGGTACAAAATAATTTCCAAATCCTCCAAACAAGCCAGGCATTACTAAAAAGAAGATCATAAGAAAGCCATGCAGTGTAATGCTTATATTATAGAAGTTCTGGTTTTCTGGAGATATAATCCTATTTCCTGATGGATATAATTCTATTCTTATAAGGACTGATATTAATGTTCCGGAGATTCCAAAGATGAATCCAGATAATAAATAATAAATTCCTAAGCCTTTATGATTTCAATTTTTAACTAGTGATAGAAAAGATACGAACGGGCCAGTAATTTTATATTAAAAGGAATGGTGGTTTCGTTCGCTAGTTCACACGGCTCACGCATTACGAAGACTCATGAACTACCTTAAAGACCCTGAACTATAACACGTCCTGTCAACTCACCTCACTCTTGACTCTGAAGCTCTATCTCTAGCTCCTGTTGACAGACCATGAACTCAGTGAATCAACCATTAATACCATGAATCCGCCCTTGAGACCCCATTTCCAGGTCATTTAACCTCTGTTCCCTTCATATCTTGGTCTAACCGTTCACACCCTTGGAATCGCATGCCAGGTTAACCGCTCTCTGAATCACCCATACAATCATCACCTGTCTCCCTTTCTTGGTGCTCTTTTCCTTCACTTCATTCGCCCCGTTATAATAGTACGTTTGTTGGTGAACTTGTGCACGCAACAACCGTAATATTATAATAAAGGGGCATGAAGTGAGAGAAAAGAACGCACGAAAACCACCAAAAACCCCAATTTTAATATTAAATTCACGCGTCCACTTCGTTACCTTGTAATTTAATATTATTATTGGGGGATTTTGGACTAGCCCGTGTGGTTGATCTGGGGCTGAGTCTTAATGTCTTGAGTTACTAACCGGCTTAGAGACCAGTCCAACCGCAGCACCCACCACACCTTGAGACCCTAACTCTCAGACCCTCATGATAAGTTCTTAGACCCTGGTATCTAGCTGTTGACAGATCACGCCCATGAATCCGCCCTTGAGACCCTTGCCGCTTGAGCACACCGCACAATTTCAATCTTCCGAAGACCTGGGAGGTGAGAGCTCCCAGAGTGGACGTCCTGGCACAGGCCCGGAAGACCGCACAGACGCTGGCTTTGGAACTCGAGGAGACCTGCTTGAGCGCTGCTGGCCAGGGGAAGAGGCCCAGACTTGGGCAACGGGGCTAAAGTTGCTAAAAGCTGAGTTTGTGGAGTGTGTGGTACCGTACGACGCTCGCTGGTGGAAATTCGTGTGATTCAAGTTCGCGACACCAAAATGTTTAACACCCTTGGGGATCTTGGGGCCTCGGCATGCAAGGCGTCAACACGTGGTTCGTTGCAAGCATCATCTCCAGAAGCCGCTTCTACAGGGTATCGCCGCTTATGCATTCTTCAAGCATTGAAAGCCCATGGCCCGTGCTTGAATAGCCCCCTTAATGAGTTGGACTCTGCGTTAAATACTTGGGGCCTCAATGGGCCTCCTCTTCTAAGGCAAGTTTGCCGGGGTGTACAGTATTCTGCGACCTGTGTCCTTCGCCGTCGCCAAAAACAATCTCGGCTGCCGGGGGAGTGGCTCCTTTGAGCAAATCCGATGGACCGGTTAAAGAGCAACAACATCCAACGAAAGGGGGAGGGGAACTCCGTAAGCAGGGTCCGCACATGGGGGACCTCGGAGTTCCGCATTTTTCAGGGTTCTCTAGCAGCTCTACCAGTAGCACATCCAAGAGCCACATGTGCTGCAGACGCCCCCCAAGTTGCACGACTGGGATTCAAGCTTTGTGTTGCACTTGGCCACTGAATCATATACTTGTGAAGTCGTACTCCTTTTGATGGCGTGGCCTTGTTTGAGTTCTTTTTGACTCACATTGTGCAATCTGAGCACTTGCCCTCACTCGTCTGGGACAGGTAGCGCGATACATTCGCACTGCCTTCATTGCATCCTTGCCCGCGCTTGCCAGGAACGTGGAGTGGGCAACTGGAGACCTGTACGGGCTTGGCCGTGATGCAGGCTGTGTGAGTGGGACATCTGGGACCAACAATCATCTGTATGTATGTATGTATGTATGTATGTATGTATGTATGTATGTATGTATGTATGTATGTATGTATGTATGTATGTATGTATGTATGTATGTATGTATATATGTATATTAATATGTATATATGATTCTATGCAGAGTTGCGCCCCGGGATTTTAGGGTTTTAGGACGCAGGGTTTTCAAGGTTTTGTGGGTTTAGCGTACGGTTTTCTTTTCTGGGCGTTAAGGGTTTGTTTAGGGTTGCAGGTTTTCGGGTTCGTGTATTGTTTGGGGTTTGTCTGATCCTGGGTTTAAGTGAGGAGGGGGGTTGCGGTGGGGATACCAGGATACCATGGGGGGTAACCTGCTGACACGGCGACACGGAACCACATATATCAGGCCTCGTTCATGTTTTCCGTCATGGGAGGCGACACGTTGCTGCACGAGTTTGCCGAGCACGTGGAGCGGATGGGCTTCGCGACCGTGGTGCTGCCGGCATTTGTTCTGATCCCTTTGATGACTTGAGATGAGTTGAGATGAGTTGATGCAGGTTCTCGGAGAGCATGTAATATCATGTAATCTAATGCAGAGGAGTGGTGGCGTGGCGAGTCTCTTGGCTGGTGCAACGAACCTGGCCCGGCCCTTCCAAGCGATGGGCCCTGGCCGGAGATGTGCGACACAAAGCCCGGGCCTCATGAGTTGCCATTGAGGGCTGTTGGGGGTGTGTTACGTCTGTTATACGTGCTGTTACTGATGCTCATGCTGATCCAGTATGCTTGAGCGCTGTGCTGAGGCCGGTGCCCGTGTCTCGTCGAAGGTTTGGATCCTGGGGCTACGCGCTCCGTGTTCGTGTGGGTTGGGAGAGCGAGCGCCAGCGTCCCGCATCCAGCCAGCTGGATGCACTGCGCAGGGCATCTGAGTTCTCGGTGTCCCCTCGGGCTCGTCCACCCAGCCGATGCCCCGTGTGCCGCGACGGCAGCCACCGACGAGCACAACTGCAGCCCTGTGGCCACCTCTTCTGTCGGCCCTGTGCCAAGCGCCTTCTCGGCCGAGCCTGCCTGCGTTGCGGTGTGATCTGCCGGGAGGCTCGTACGTACATACTCGTACCAAAACTCTCATAACTCCTGTTACCAGAAGAACATAAAAAAGATAGGGAGGGATCTGAAGGAAAAAAGTTATTTAGTTCAGCGCCACGTGCTTACAGACTCTTCCAGTTTCTTGAGGGTCTTGTTTGGCTTCTGCTGAGGTGGAGGACTGCCAGTTCCAAGCACCGGCTGCAAGGCCTCTGGACGGCGGCGACATTGACAAAATCCCCCAAGTGGTGTGGGGTCCGACCGGCGGCTCCTATGCTCTGCGCCCCTTCGCGCAGCAGCGATCGCCATCGCGACTCAAAGCCAAACCCAAGGCTCGCTGCGCAGTGATTGCTTTTTGTTCACAATGTACAATAATGTACAGGTCTTTCCAGATGTGTAGTCTGTATATGTCTGTATGGTCCAGTGTAACTCTGGCAGGCCCTTCAGGTGTGCGACATGCCGAAGGGATGACAACTCCCCTCATTGAGAACAGCATCTTGCCGGCCTTCAGCGCGACGTTCATCGAGCTGCAATTACTATGGCCACGTTGCTGCCACGCGCTTTTGACCCCTGAGATGACGTGAAGACGTTGCGTAGCACGGTGCAAGCAGCGCCAAACCTGGACGCAGCTGCAGGCGCTGTGGCACTGGCCTCGTGTGGCCTTCCTCGGCGTTTCGCGCTCTCCGACATGGATGATCTTGGACAAGCTCGCGATTTCTTGCGAATCTCTGAAGCTTCCCGGCCCCAACATGCTAATGCCGCTAATGCAGAGGCGAACCGTTCGGTTGCACCAGAAAAATTGAAGTCGCTGCGAGATGCCAAAAAAAGTTCTTATTGAATTGGCTCACCCTGAATGACGTCCAATGTTCTCGAAAGATATCCTTTTTGCACTAGCAGCAGCATCACCGCAGGCACCTGAGGTGGCTTCAGCCAATGGCTCTGCTGGCGTGTTGCCTAGAAAAGGAATGTTTCACGTGACAGGCGGATGAAGAGTTGTTTTGAATATCCTGCCCAAGGCGATCCTGACGGGCATGTGGGATCAGCGTGCGCCATCAGCGGCAGGGAGACCTCGCCGCGGACGACCCAGGTGGCATCACCCCTACCTTATAAATCATCGCCGGGGGGGGATCGCTGTTCAAGCATGTGTTTCGGCCAGCCACGGCCAGGCGGAATGGGTGGGGGCATCACGTAGGCCCTAAACAGCTGAAATCTATTTTGAGGGACTTGTCTATTGTCCGGCAAAATGCTTTGTTTTGGTCACCGGGCATTTTGGGGGCTTCGCGCGGTGAAGCGGACTTCTCCAGGCACCCTGGAAATGGTTTTGGGAGGGGTCAGCTCCGCCGACCCCTCGTGCCATCATTATTGTCTGACCCGGCGGGAATTGAAAAATCGATCGGGAGATATACAAGCTCTCGACAAAAACTGCTGCCTAGAGTCAACCAATCGACGTTCGAGAGCTCGGCGGCTCACATCGGCTCACAGCACATATCGGCACCACCACCAGAGAGGCAGCTAGATGAGCCGGGGAGATGATGGCGCGGCTCCAAAGATCCCTCGCCGACGTCTTGCCGGATATGTCTCGACACTCCGGGCAGCCCATGAAGCAGCACATGACATAGCATCAAAGCGTTTCAGGTTTAGGGTTGAAAGCGTGTAAGCCTCAACGGGAAAACCCGGCAATGATTGCAGACGTGTCTGACCCTCAATGGGAAAACCCGGAAATGTTTGCAGACGGGTTGACCCTGTCGAGGCAGGGGTCCTCGCCGAAAATGATTGCTGGGGGGGTCCCCCACGAAATAATTGCAAGGGAGGGTGTAATTTGACAGCGCGGGGTGAGCAGGTGGCCACCGTTGGTAGCATCGCCGGTACGCCACTTGGAGAGATCTCTTTTGCCATGTTGCGCTCGTGTCTTGAGATTCCAGGCCTGCCTGCTGGACATCAGACAGCGGCTAGCACCATCACTGCCAGCGAGACCTCGCCGCAGACGAGCGAGGTGGCCACCGCTGGTGGCACCGCCGGTGCACAGCTCGGAAGTGGCAGGTGGAGAAGTCGCCATGTTGCGTTTGTGTCTTGAGATTCCAGGCCTGCCTGCTGGACATCAGACAGCGGCTAGCACCATCACTGCCAGCGAGACCTCGCCGCAGACGAGCGAGGTGGCCACCGCTGGTGGCACCGCCGGTGCACAGCTCGGAAGTGGCAGGTGGAGAAATCGCCATGTTGCATTTGTGTCTTGAGAATCCAGGCTTGTCTGCTGGACATCAGACAGCGGCTAGCACCATCACTGCCAGCGAGACCTCGCCGCAGACGAGCGAGGTGGCCACCGCTGGTGGCACCGCCGGTGCACAGCTCGGAAGTGGCAGGTGGAGAAATCGCCATGTTGCATTTGTGTCTTGAGAGTCCAGGCTTATCTGCTGGACATCAGACAGCGGCCAGCACCATCACTGCCAGCGAGACCTCGCCGCAGACGAGCGAGGTGGCCACCGCTGGTGGCACCGCCGGTGCACAGCTCGGAAGTGGCAGGTGGAGAAATCGCCATGTTGCATTTGTGTCTTGAGATTCCAGGCCTGCCTGCTGGACATCAGACAGCGGCTAGCACCATCACTGCCAGCGAGACCTCGCCGCAGACGAGCGAGGTGGCCACCGCTGGTGGCACCGCCGGTGCACAGCTGAGAAGTGGCAGGTGGAGAAATCGCCATGTTGCATTCGTGTCTTGAGAATCCAGGCTTATCTGCTGGACATCAGACAGCGGCTAGCAACATCACTGCCAGCGAGACCTCGCCGCAGACGAGCGAGGTGGCCACCGCTGGTGGCACCGCCAGTGCACAGCTGAGAAGTGGCAGGTGGAGAAATCGCCATGTTGCATTCGTGTCTTGAGAATCCAGGCTTATCTGCTGGACATCAGACAGCGGCTAGCACCATCACTGCCAGCGAGACCTCGCCGCAGACGAGCGCGGTGGCCACCGCTGGTGGCACTGCCGGTGCACAGCTCGGAAGTGGCAGGTGAAGAGAGAGAGCTCCTCAAGCTTCCTTTCTGTGTTGGACTTCCAGGTGACTCTGTTGGACTCCAGAGATCAGCACACAGCGACACCAATGCATCGTCACAGGATTCTGGGCAAGCTTCGCAGCTTGGCCTTTGCCGTCTTCAACACTTCCATTTGGGGGGGGGGGGGGGGGGGGGGGTGGTTATTGTAAGTGGTGGAACTCAGAGGTCGGGCGTAAGATGTAGGGAGGAAAGGGGTGGGGGGTGATGATGGCTGGTGACGGGCGTTGGGGGGGCGGGGATAGGTGAGGGGTGGTGGAGTGTTTAACACTTCCCAAACTGGCGCTTGGTGATAGAGGCGAGACAAAGGCTTTACGGCGGATATGTGGCGAGAACACCCGGAGCTACCGGTATGTTGTACATGTTTTCTCACACAAACTTAAGCAACTCTTGCATGCCATCGTAAACCCAAATTTAGGAGCTTCCTTGAGAGCAGTTCTCCGCAGGGGGGATCCCAAATAAATGCAACCAATACATCCCAAAGCCCCTCCTGCTGCATTGATGCAAAACTACCTGGAAAGCCGTCCGTCGCACAGCTGAAATTAAGCCTCGGTGCAATCTCTCAGGTCTGCCTGGGCACAGCTTCCACCTGGTTGGGCGATGTATTCAACAGCGCAGGGCCACATCTTCTACTACCACCAGGGCCGGACGCCCAACCTGTGATGAATCCATAACATCTGAGCATGGGGTCGAAGACACGGGAAGGGCTCTTTCTGAGGCACCGGAACGTCTCAATGGGAGAAGCCCACCGCCTGATGCAAAACGGTTCGTGAGCATGTTGATACGGGATGCAATGGCTTCAGCAGACATCTGGCCATCGGCTGCTTAACTGCTTGTCATGTATGTCCGGCGTTTGCCATGGGTTCCCTGGCAGCGAGCCTTCAAGTAGCACGTGCTGAGATGTTCACATACTTCATACATCAACTTTAGCTTTCCCAACTCGTTAGGCACCGCAGGAAGCCACAGGAACATGATATCTGCTCGAACTCCTCAAGCTGCAGCCAAACGCACGACCTCATGCTGCGTCGAAATGCACGGCTTCGGAAGGAGTATCTTTACAAGAAGGCACCCGCTTCCCAGCTCGACCGTACTAACACACCCCCAAAAGCGCCAGGCCTTGGAAGACAAGGAAGCCACCACCTTCGACAAGAAGCGGAAGCTCCAGGAGGCCTGCGGGCACTGAAGCAAGTAATTTGCTGCACAATGGCGAGAGCGACGTCTCGTCTTTTTCATTGTTGAGGCCCTGGAGAGTCAGAAGCCCATCCCCACAGAGCTGCGGGGCGAGGACAGGAAGCTTCGCAAGGCACCGCACGCGTGGTATAGCACAGCCCCCCTGAGCATGCCAGATGTTCTTGAAATTGGTTTTGGATGATTCTTGGCATGAGTTGAAGTTGAAGCGTGGAATATCTTCAGCTGTCAGGTGCTGGACCTTGCGGACGAAAGGACGAAGGAGCAGCGGAAAGCCATGGACGACGAGTATGCCTACCTGGGCGTCAAGGACCCGAAGGTCAGACAGGGTTTCCTTGGGTTTCTGCGCCTCAAAGCGCTGGCAGCTGCAGCTTCCCATGCCAGAATCTGATCCGCAAGCTTGAATGAAGGCCATGGGCAGTTATGATGCAGATATGATACTAAGATATTGGATACGGGTGCAAGAGTCTTCTGCTCCCAAAAGCACCAATTGATACTGTGATACGTGAAACCTAGGAACCCAAATCAAAGCGAAGCACAACGCAAATTTCGTGCTCTCCAAGACACCCCATCGTGCTTAAATTAAACCCCCCAATTACACGGGGTATCCCAGAAAGACGAAAAGTGAAAAGGTGGCGAAAGAAAACAAAGGTTCCCAAAAGGTGAAATGAGTCTCCATATCTTATACCTTCATCAAGCCCTCGGATTCATGTCAAGCCCTCAGATCATCGGAAGAAAATCCATTTGATGTCTATTATTCATCATATCTCACCTGCGCGGGGGAGTGTCCTGGTCGAGGACAACTATGATATTGATAATGTGCACTCTCACATGACCCGGGCTGACCTGGGGTGACCTATAGGGTGCAGTTCTGGCGGAAAAGCCCTGCAGAGCAGGGTTCTAGGGCGGAGAAGCCAAGACGTCTGCCAATGATCGAGGGAGATCAGGGACTCAGAGTAGAGTCAACTATTGTGCTTGCCTGTCAGCTCGGCCCATGCCAGGTGTTGGTCACCACGTCTCGCGATCCGTCCTCCCGCCTGAGTCAGTTTCTGAAGGAGCTCCGGATGCTGTTTCTCGGCGAGAAGTGAAGCCGGTAAATTTCAATTGACTCGGTGGAAATGAGTGACAATGTTGACTTGGGCACCTGTGGGTCGACGAGGGCAATATGCGAACTCAGAACTACTGAGCTTAACTCGAGCAAGAATCATGTAAACAACTGACGCATGCAGTATCCGCATGCGCATGTACGCACTTCATCTATATATAGATTCTAGATAGATATATATATATATACAACTTGATGCATTCAATTAATTTGTTGTTCCTCCCCCTCCGCCTTGAGCTGCATCACCACAAACTCACTTCAGGCGTCCTGCTTGTAGGATGAACGGCCTACAGTTAACACTAAACACACAAGAAGCCAGACTGGCCAACTGGAACTGGATAAATCGGAGCGACGATCGATCCTGACCGGCTATACTTGGCCCAACAAGCCTAAGCAGGGGAGCATTCCCAGAGCATCACCCCAGCACAGAAGATTCCACTCTCGAGTCCGTGGCTTCCGTAAATGAAGCTCTACATAGAGCACACACATACATACTACACATATATGTATATATACGCACACTTGCGTACAATGACGAAACATGTATATATATATATATATGTGGTCACCCCCCCCCCCCCCCCCCCCAATGGACCAACCTCCAACCCCAATGGACCCACATCGGCATGTATAAGGTTCTCGAGACACTGCAGCCTGCCATGCTTTCCCTGTCTACTTCTTTATGCTTTTTTGTGCTTCCTGTGCTTTTTTGGTGCTTTTTTTCGTGCATTTTTGTGTGTTTTGCATTCTTTTGTGTTTTTTGTGTTTTTTATGTTTTTTGTTGCACTTTTTGCACTTTTTGCACTTTTTGCACTTTTTGCACTTTTTGCACTTTTTGCACTTTTTGCACTTTTTGCACTTTTTGCACTTTTTTGCACTTTTGTCTAGTTCACAACATTTTTGCAAATATTTGTCCTCTTGAATGTGCTTTTCCAATCCAAAAACACAAAATCCCAAAAATCCAAAATTCTCCGGACAATCTCCCAGGAAACTTTGGGTTTTTGGATTTTTGGATTTTTGGATTTTGAAGATTTTTCACATTCGAGGTTCTCCTTTTTTTGACTGAAAAGAGGGCGGCCACTCAAATGCACCCTTATCAGAGTTTCAATTGCGTCCTAAGTACTCGAAACGTAAGCACTAAATTCACAGGATATCATTAAATGGCATATCCTAGATGGTTTTGATTATACAGGTTGTGAATTTGAGAACCATGTCAAGTCCTACTTTTTCAAATCACTGAGGTAAACACGTACGTGTGTTATTCACAGGGCTTTGCTAAGCAGGCTTTAGCAGAGAAAGCCCATATTTGCCAATATCTACTTTTGTGCATCTAAAAGAAGCTGAATTATCATTTTTTCCAAGAACAACCATTCTGGGATCGTAGTACCTGCTGTTTAAGAAAGGTTATATGTCATGAACACCCTGACTTTGCGATAACGAGTGTTTTAGTTTTCTGATCCTTTAATTCAGGCTCTTAATATTGAGTTGCCCACCTGTGATCATTGCAGTAAACCCTGCTCGAATCTGATTAACGTCTTAACTAAGTACTCGATTGAAGACTGTATCGTTAAATTCCTAAGTAGCCTGCTCATAAAGCCAATGAGATTTCGAAATATCCTACTCAAACAGCCAACAAGAAGCTGAACAGAAGCGTTCAAGACAGTAATAGGGCTTAGGCCCAATATACGGCTAGTGCACTGTCCACTCGAGGGTCAGGGACTTCCTGTATGGAAGTGAAGTGTGCATTCATTTCCAGGGCGCGCATTTCATGCTATGAGGTTCGGTTGAACTTTTATTTTATAATCTTGCATATGGAGCCCCTGTAAGTATCTCGTGTATATAAGAGGGCGGCCCTTCAAAGGTACCCTTATCAGAGTTTCAATGGCGTCCTACTCGAAACGTGAACACTAAATTCACAGGATATTAAATGGCATATTCTAGAAGGTTTTGACTATACTGTTTCCGTATATGAGAACCATGTAAAGTCTTAGTTTTTCAAATCACTGAGAAAAACACGTACATGTGTTATGCACAGGCCTTTGCGAAGGAGGCTTTAACAAAGAAAGCCTATATTTGCCAATATCTAATTTTATGCATCTGAAAGAAGCTGAAATATCATTTCTTCAATAAGAACCATTCTGGGATCCTAGTACCTACTGTTTAGAAAAGGTTATCTCTTATGAAAGCCCTTACTTTGTGATACGAGTGCTTTAGTTTTTTGAACAGGATTCCAAGTAGTTCACTAGCCAGAGACTGGACCTAAGCCCTACTACTTTCTTGAACGCTTCTAATCGCTTTTTGAGCAGGATATTTCAACATCTTATTGGCTCTTTGAGCAGGCTACTTGGGATTCATTCACGTTTTGGATGTTTTTGAAATTCTGACAAGGGTACATGTGAATGGCCGCCCTCTTATAAGTCAAAAAATAGGAGAACCTCGAATGTGAAAAATCTTCCAAATCCCAAAATGCAAAAATCCCCAAATCCAAAACTCCAAAAATCCCAAAATCCCAAAATCCAAAAATCCAAAGTTTCCTGGGAGATTGTCCGGAGAATTTTGGGTTTTTGGATTTTTGGATTTTTGGATATTTTGATTTTTGGATTTTTGGATTGGAAAAGCACATTCAAAAGGACAAATATTTGCAAAAATATTGTGAAACTAGACAAAAGTGAAAAAAAAGTGCAAAAAGTGCAAAAAAGTGCAAAAAGTGCAAGAAGTACAAAAAAGCACGAAAAAGCACAAAAACATAAACAAACATAAAAAAGCACAAAATCCAAAAACCCAAAAAAGCCAAACAACCCAAAGTTTCCTGGGAGATTGTCCGGGGAACGTTGGGTTTTTGGATTTTTGGATTTCTTTTCCATTTCGCGGTTGGTCCATTGGGGGGGTGAGCATATATATATATATAAATCTATATAGTGGAAAAGTGCTTGCTTCGGTGTTTCTGTTTCTTTTTTTCGATGGCTCGTCACGTAAAACTGCTGCGTCGTCACCTTAATGATTCGTGCAAGGTTCCCAGGAGCCCAACGGATGAACCGCGGAAGTTATGTCGTGAAGGACCACGGGTGCAACCTCTTCGCTGCTTGACCCTGTTGCGCCTGTGGTTCAAGGACCTGATGCAGTTGGCCCGGTCGCACGAGATGACAGACGCGGGCTGCCCGGATGTGACACATTGTATGCGTTACTTTGGACATCAAGTGTCCAGCTGCAGTTGTTGTTGGGGGGAAGAATCGAAGAAGCCGCTGCGAAGGTGATCCTGGTACACGAGCACCGGGGCGAACCCGACGGCATGGTCGTTTGCCATCTGCCCTTCGGGCCCACCGCCTACTTCGGCGGGGACCCCGGAGGAAGTACATGGTGAGTACATGGTATGAGGCGCGTGACAAGCATCCAAGCATCGCATTGTGGCCCAAGGCCTCTCCAACGTGGTGCTGCGCCACGACCTGGCGGAAAAGCCCCCGGCCATGTCCGAGGTGCCCCAGAGATCTGCAAAGGGCTTGCAAGCACAGCATCACGATGAAAGGCGTTCTTCTGATGCAGACATCTCTCGATTTGCAAGGCCAGTCCCCACCTGCTCTTCCACGGCTTCACGGCCAAGACGGGACTGCGGGTGAAGACGATCCTCCAGGCCCATATTTCTGTGTGTACTTGTTTTTGTATGGCATTTGCGCACGGACTGAAAAGATAATTATGCCTGAGTGCAACTCAACGAAGCTGAACGGGTGCAGGGCTGTTCAATTCCTTGGAAGGCGCTGTTCCCACCGGCCAAGCAAGCAGGCGACCGGGTCATGACCTTCGCGAACCGCCCCTTGTCTCCAAAAGCGCTCGTGCCAATCTGCTGCGCAACATGCCGCATAAAGCCCGCAGCAGAACACGCCCCGGAATGCCCATGCTTCCCCGATTCCGCGACATCTTCCGAGACCACGACGTGATTCACTTCCGGCACCACAGCTTCGCAAGGACAGGATGGGTGTTGCCGGCGTTGCCGGTGCGGTAGTCACAAGCCGCCACAGTAGAGAGTGGAGTGAGTGGCGAGTCTGTCAGGCCGAAGGGCCCAGCTGGCGACGGACACCGCTCCCGCGTAAGCCGGCACAACAACGGTCACCGGAGTTTCGCAGGCCTGGGGTTGCGGTACGGCGGTGCCACCGATCAGGCGAAGGACGTAGCTCTCACCGAGAACGGTCCCAGATTCCAGATGAGGTGCAACACTGCGTAGCACTGCAGTGCGAAGAGTGGCCAGGAGAATTCCTGCGCTCAATTGTTGCAGGCTTTTTCGCGTGGAGCTGGGGACGGTCGACATGAAGGATGTGGAGGCGCAGATGGTGCAAAGTACCATGCCTCGTCTGCTCTTCCATTCCTCTTGCAATCTGCAGCATGCTGCAGATCTGCTGCATGCTGCAGGTGGAGTGGGTCCTCAGACCGTACTTCAACCGGCAGAAGGAGGCCTTGGCCTTGCCGGAGGAGAGCTCAGCAACAACAGCTGCAAAACAGCTGCATAACACACTGCACACCCCCTCCCCCACATCTTAAAAGCTTTTATGAGCATTTTGCGGTATTTTGCCATTTTGCAGGAAGACGACGAGCAGAAAGCCACCTGAGCAGAGCAACTCCCCACACGAGGCCAGCTCGCAGCAACAAGGGCACGTGCCTTGATTCCCTTTGACTATTAACTTGTATATATATATATATATATTATGCCGATGTTGTTGCGCATTGGCTGCGCTCCAGCTTTCAGTAGATTCTCATAGTGTCCGCTCTGCCTCCGGCTCGAGAGCGGCCGCCAAGACCTGCGGATGTCGACGGCATGCTGCGACGAGGAGACATGACATGCTGTGGCAACCTGTGACGTGCTCCACCTATAGCCCTATGTTTGCAGTGCCTCCCACCCCCTCTCTTTGGCACAGGCCCTCATGCTTTATGTGCAGACGGCGCAGAAAGGCGAGGCAGTGCGGCTGTGTTTTTGTTTGGGTCTCCTGAGCTCTTCTGCCCTGCATCTGAGGCTTCTGCCGTGATGGCTGAAGCCGTTGGCGTGCTGCCGGCGGGCGGCCCCAGGTCTCGGGAGACCACGCGCTCGGTGTGGAAACCGTACAGTTGACATTGCCCTGTGTGCCTGTGTGCCTGTGTGCCACTGTGTGCTCCACAATACTCAGTCAATACTCGACAAGCCGTTAAGATGTGGATCTTGTGTGCCCTTGAGGGAGAGGCATCTGACGCACCGGGCACCGAGGGCGGGGAGGCATGGATGGAAGCTACATTCGGCTTCTGTTGCGTGTTCTGCAAGATCTCTCCATTTCTCTTTCTCTCTTCTGAAGACGTTTTGGACACACACACACACACTGGTTTATATGCGTAATACAAAGGTAGAATCGTAATCTTGTAACATGGCTTGTTAGATTATGGAACTGCATGCTCGCATTCAGTACCATGTAATGTAACGAAATGTAGCGAGACGAAACGAACTTGAGTTGAATTAGATGAAGTGCGAAGAGCCGTGAAATGGATATGTTAGCTTTACTGTAGAGACATATGATACATTTCCGCATACAAGCGGGTTCGGTCACAGGTTGCGCGTGTGCGTTGCTGTCTTTGTGGTGTTTCCGGGCGTACCTTTACCGGTCTATCCTGGACCAGAAAAATACCCAGCTGATGCTCATGATGCTCGGCTCTCGCCTCGTCACATCTGCACAATCACTCGGTCGAAGGGTTTTGCAAACGTCTGGAGGTTAGGGGGCCATTGAACCAGAAAAGTTCCCAGCTGATGCTCATGATGCTCGCCTCCAGCCTCGTCACATCTGCACAATCACTCGGTCGAAGGGTTTTGCAAACGTCTGGAGCTTAGGGGGCCATTGAACCAGAAAAGTTCCCAGCTGATGCTCATGATGCTCGCCTCCCGCCTCGTCACATCTGCACAATCACTCGGTTGAAGAGTTTTGCAAACGTTTGGAGCTTAGGGGGCCATTGAACCAGAAAAGTTCCCAGCTGATGCTCATGATGCTCGCCTCCCGCCTCGTCACATCTGCACAATCACTCGGTCGAAAGGGTTTTCCACACGTCTGGAGCTTAGGGGCCACTGAGCCGGAGAAATTCCCGGCTGATGCTCATGATGCCTGCCTCCCGCCTCGTCACATCTGCACAATCACTCGGTCGAAGGGTTTTGCAAACGTCTGGAGCTTAGGGGGCCATTGAACCAGAAAAGTTCCCAGCTGATGCTCATGATGCTCGCCTCCCGCCTCGTCACATCTGCACAATCACTCGGTCGAAAGGGTTTTGCAAACGTTTGGAGCTTAGGGGGCCATTGAACCAGAAAAGTTCCCAGCTGATGCTCATGATGCTCGCCTCCCGCCTCGTCACATCTGCACAATCACTCGGTCGAAAGGGTTTTCCACACGTCTGGAGCTTAGGGGGCCATTGAACCAGAAAAGTTCCCAGCTGATGCTCATGATGCTCGCCTCCCGCCTCGTCACATCTGCACAATCACTCGGTTGAAGAGTTTTGCAAACGTTTGGAGCTTAGGGGGCCATTGAACCAGAAAAGCTCCCAGCTGATGCTCATGATGCTCGCCTCCCGCCTCGTCACATCTGCACAATCACTCGGTCGAAAGGGTTTTCCACACGTCTGGAGCTTAGGGGCCACTGAGCCGGAGAAATTCCCGGCTGATGCTCATGATGCCTGCCTCCCGCCTCGTCACATCTGCACAATCACTCGGTCGAAGGGTTTTGCAAACTTCTGGAGCTTAGGGGGCCATTGAACCAGAAAAACCCCCAGCTGATGCTCATGATGCTCGCCTCCCGCCTCGTCACATCTGCACAATCAGTCGGTCGAAAGGGTTTTGCAAACGTTTGGAGCTTAGGGGGCCATTGAACCAGAAAAGTTCCCAGCTGATGCTCATGATGCTCGCCTCCCGCCTCGTCACATCTGCACAATCACTCGGTCGAAAGGGTTTTGCAAACGTCTGGAGCTTAGGGGGCCATTGAACCAGAAAAGTTCCCAGCTGATGCTCATGATGCTCGCCTCCCGCCTCGTCACATCTGCACAATCACTCGGTCGAAAGGGTTTTGCAAACGTCTGGAGCTTAGGGGGCCATTGAACCAGAAAAGTTCCCAGCTGATGCTCATGATGCTCGCCTCCCGCCTCGTCACATCTGCACAATCACTCGGTCGAAAGGGTTTTCCACACGTCTGGAGCTTAGGGGCCACTGAGCCGGAGAAATTCCCGGCTGATGCTCATGATGCCTGCCTCCCGCCTCGTCACATCTGCACAATCACTCGGTCGAAGGGTTTTGCAAACGTCTGGAGCTTAGGGGGCCATTGAACCAGAAAAGTTCCCAGCTGATGCTCATGATGCTCGCCTCCCGCCTCGTCACATCTGCACAATCACTCGGTCGAAAGGGTTTTGCAAACGTTTGGAGCTTAGGGGGCCATTGAACCAGAAAAGTTCCCAGCTGATGCTCATGATGCTCGCCTCCCGCCTCGTCACATCTGCACAATCACTCGGTCGAAAGGGTTTTCCAAACGTCTGGAGCTTAGGGGGCCATTGAACCAGAAAAGTTCCCAGCTGATGCTCATGATGCTCGCCTCCCGCCTCGTCACATCTGCACAATGACTCGGTTGAAGAGTTTTGCAAACGTTTGGAGCTTAGGGGGCCATTGAACCAGAAAAGTTCCCAGCTGATGCTCATGATGCTCGCCTCCCGCCTCGTCACATCTGCACAATCACTCGGTCGAAAGGGTTTTCCACACGTCTGGAGCTTAGGGGCCACTGAGCCGGAGAAATTCCCGGCTGATGCTCATGATGCCTGCCTCCCGCCTCGTCACATCTGCACAATCACTCGGTCGAAGGGTTTTGCAAACTTCTGGAGCTTAGGGGGCCATTGAACCAGAAAAACCCCCAGCTGATGCTCATGATGCTCGCCTCCCGCCTCGTCACATCTGCACAATCAGTCGGTCGAAAGGGTTTTGCAAACGTTTGGAGCTTAGGGGGCCATTGAACCAGAAAAGTTCCCAGCTGATGCTCATGATGCTCGCCTCCCGCCTCGTCACATCTGCACAATCACTCGGTCGAAAGGGTTTTGCAAACGTCTGGAGCTTAGGGGGCCATTGAACCAGAAAAGTTCCCAGCTGATGCTCATGATGCTCGCCTCCCGCCTCGTCACATCTGCACAATCACTCGGTCGAAAGGGTTTTGCAAACGTCTGGAGCTTAGGGGCCATTGAACCAGAAAAGTTCCCAGCTGATGCTCATGATGCTCGCCTCCCGCCTCGTCACATCTGCACAATCACTCGGTCGAAAGGGTTTTGCAAACGTCTGGAGCTTAGGGGGCAAAGTTCCCAGCTGATGCTCATGATGCTCGCCTCCCGCCTCGTCACATCTGCACAATCACTCGGTCGAAAGGGTTTTGCAAACGTTTGGAGCTTAGGGGGCCATTGAACCAGAAAAGTTCCCAGCTGATGCTCATGATGCTCGCCTCCCGCCGTCACATCTGCACAATCACTCGGTCGAAAGGGTTTTGCAAACGTCTGGAGCTTAGGGGGCCATTGAACCAGAAAAGTTCCCAGCTGATGCTCATGATGCTCGCCTCCCGCCTCGTCACATCTGCACAATCACTCGGTCGAAAGGGTTTTGCAAACGTCTGGAGCTTAGGGGGCCATTGAACCAGAAAAGTTCCCAGCTGATGCTCATGATGCTCGCCTCCCGCCTCGTCACATCTGCACAATCACTCGGTCGAAGGGTTTTGCAAACGTCTGGAGCTTAGGGGGCCATTGAACCAGAAAAGTTCCCAGCTGATGCTCATGATGCTCGCCTCCCGCCTCGTCACATCTGCACAATCACTCGGTCGAAAGGGTTTTGCAAACGTCTGGAGCTTAGGGGGCCATTGAACCAGAAAAGTTCCCAGCTGATGCTCATGATGCTCGCCTCCCGCCGTCACATCTGCACAATCACTCGGTCGAAAGGGTTTTGCAAACGTCTGGAGCTTAGGGGGCCATTGAACCAGAAAAGTTCCCAGCTGATGCTCATGATGCTCGCCTCCCGCCTCGTCACATCTGCACAATCACTCGGTCGAAAGGGTTTTGCAAACGTCTGGAGCTTAGGGGGCCATTGAACCAGAAAAGTTCCCAGCTGATGCTCATGATGCTCGCCTCCCGCCTCGTCACATCTGCACAATCACTCGGTTGAAGAGTTTTGCAAACGTTTGGAGCTTAGGGGGCCATTGAACCAGAAAAGTTCCCAGCTGATGCTCATGATGCTCGCCTCCCGCCTCGTCACATCTGCACAATCACTCGGTCGAAAGGGTTTTCCACACGTCTGGAGCTTAGGGGCCACTGAGCCGGAGAAATTCCCGGCTGATGCTCATGATGCCTGCCTCCCGCCTCGTCACATCTGCACAATCACTCGGTCGAAGGGTTTTGCAAACGTCTGGAGCTTAGGGGGCCATTGAACCAGAAAAGTTCCCAGCTGATGCTCATGATGCTCGCCTCCCGCCTCGTCACATCTGCACAATCACGTCGGCTCGAAAGGGCTCATGATTGCACATCTGCACGTCGAAAGGGTTTTGCAAACGTCTGGAGCTTAGGGGGCCATTGAACCAGAAAAGTTCCCAGCTGATGCTCATGATGCTCGCCTCCCGCCTCGTCACATCTGCACAATCACTCGGTCGAAGGGTTTTGCAAACGTCTGGAGCTTAGGGGGCCATTGCCAGAAAAGTTCCCAGCTGATGCTCATGATGCTCGCCTCCCGCCTCGTCACATCTGCACAATCACTCGGTCGAAAGGGTTTTGCAAACGTCTGGAGCTTAGGGGGCCATTGAACCAGAAAAGTTCCCAGCTGATGCTCATGATGCTCGCCTCCCGCCTCGTCACATCTGCACAATCACTCGGTCGAAAGGGTTTTGCACGTCTGGAGCTTAGGGGGCCATTGAACCAGAAAAGTTCCCAGCTGATGCTCATGATGCTCGCCTCCCGCCTCGTCACATCTGCACAATCACTCGGTCGAAAGGGTTTTGCAAACGTCTGGAGCTTAGGGGGCCATTGAACCAGAAAAGTTCCCAGCTGATGCTCATGATGCTCGCCTCCCGCCTCGTCACATCTGCACAATCACTCGGTCGAAAGGGTTTTGCACACGTTTGGAGCTTAGGGGGCCATTGAACCAGAAAAGTTCCCATCTTCGTCTTCGTTGAGGAAGTTGCGGTTAGGGATGCTAAGCTAAAGGTCGCATTCATCACCCCACAGAGTGGGCTCCCTTTCCTTTCGCCACAGAATGGAAAACCCGAAACTCAAGCCCGAAAGGCCTAAGCCTTAGACCCTAAACCCTGGACCTCAGCACTGAACCCCTATATTCCCCTCTGCGCAAGACCCTGGGGTCTAGACCCCAAGTCTTGGCTCCGAGCCGACTGCTTGGAGTAGTTTGCCACTAAGATCAGAGCACCTCCCCCAAACCTTCGTGAATGCTTAGAATTCACAGGGTTTCAGAGTTGCCGCGCGGCACTCATGCCGGAACAAGAACCGCATGACCATGACCGTAGCCGAGCCCGCTGGGTAATTAACCCTTATACACTAACCCCTAACAGCCTAAAACCTGCAACCCTAGACAAACGTTTAAGACACTCAAACACCTGCAACACCCTATGCAAAGACCACAAAACCGTGAAAAGCAAAAAACCCTAAAACCCCTAAAACCCTTACAGCCCCGAAAGCAACCAAAACCCCTGAACCCAAGCCTTAAACCCTAAACCCTAAATCCCCACCCCCCCCGCCCGCCAACCCCAAACAGAGGGGGGAGGCCTAACCCTGGGTTAGGACTGGGCAATACTGCACCATGTGTGTGTGTGTGTGTGCGTGTACGCATATATGGGTCGTGAAAATGAGTGTGTGTGTGTGTGTGTGTGTGTGTGAGAGAGAGAGTGTGTGTGTGTGACATGATGACTGCGCTGGTTGGTGTGCTGAAATCAGGCACATGTCGGACCCAGCCCAGCACTGACCCCGTGCGGGTTCCTGCCGTGCGACACAAAGGGAGCTTCTGAGTTTCCATACTCAGTTCCTTGTGACTTATTTTGTCGGAGTTCTTGCGACTTCTTTGGCCGTGTGGACCCGGCGAGGTACTTCCTCCTTTGCTTGCTCGTTTCCGGCGTGCCATGCGCAGCCAGTGTCATCCTATGGTCCGACATGGGCCCCACACTTACGCCTTTTCATTTCGGGCTTCCAAGTATCGAGCTTCCAAAGCTTCAGGCTATGGCCAGGACGTTTACGCCTACTTCTTTGGTGGCACCGTGTCTCGGCTAAAGTCTGGGGATGTCTGGGGGGGGGGGGGGCATAGTGCAGCAGATCTGGGGCTCAGGAGAAGGGGGCGATCTACGCTGGACTCGCCACTCTGCTGGTGCTGTGCCTGTGCGCCTCGAGCTCTGAATAGCTCTCTGCTTAGGTTCAGAGCTGTCCCCCCATCTTTTGCCCTTCAGGTACTTGCTGGACTTCTTCTGGCCACCTCACCTCGAAGGCGACGTAAAGCACATGGACTGTGCTGAATCGCCTGAATCCCCAGCTTCAGAAGCCCAGAGCTGTATAGTGGAGGCCAGTACTTCGTGCTTTGCGACAAGGACTGCAAAGCTTTCAAGCCATTCAAGCACAGTCTTTCACACCACCCTGGCACTGACAAAAGGACTTCTTTGCAGGAAGGGCCATCCTGGCTGTAGCGGGCCTACTGCCGGGAGCTGAGCGGCTGAATGCGAACACGGAGCTCTGTTAGAGTGACATCTCCCAGTGTCCGAGCGCCTCAACAGGCAAAACTCATCCAAAGAAGTTGAAGGATTCGGGGTGCGACGTATCACTCGCAAGAGAGTGGATCGAATGTCACCAAAGTTCAGCACCTTCCGTCTGTCTCAGTGTCAGCGAAGAATGTCTGGCCCGATCTCCCCCTCGTTCTCCCCCCCTCGCCTCCCGCCATCCCACCTCCTTGCCGCGACGCAACTTAACGCTGCTGAGGAGCTGAAAGAGAGCTGGCAGCCATCACAGGGCATGCAAGCATGGTGTTATAGTTGTTTCTTCTGAATCCCCACGCAGCCCTATGAAATCCGGCACCTGCCGTGCGTGGACTGGGTATACCTTGCGTGCATGCACCCTTCATGGCACTTGCCGTGTCCCTGGCCCCGGCGTGCTCGAGTATGCCCTGCTCTTATTACATTATACACTCAGTTTTCTTGGGGACCTCCCTTGCCAGCAGTGTGGCTTTCTATATCCCTCCTGGTCCGCCTTGACACCCTGGGGCGTGGAGCACCAAAACGCACTTGAAGGTCCAGGTGTTCCCGTACATCATCATACATCAGTACAAAGGGAGTGCTCTGTCATTTCGTGAGAGTTCGTGGGCACGGGGAGAGATTGCAGAGTGCCCGCCTCCGATGTGCGGCCACAGACTTACGGGCCCTTGGTGGTCACGCTCTGACGGGTTGACTTCGGCTCTTGAGTGCAGCGGAAATAGCCAGGGAGTGTGAGCCGGCGTGTGGTGGGGTCTCAGCACAGGTTGTTTGCAGCGGCGCTGAATCTGGCCGAGGCCGATCTGAGTGCCACATGCAGTAGCCAGTAGGCATGTTGCTCCGAGTGCCCTTGCATGATGATGGGTCGAAGGCCGATGGGCAGAATAATCATGGATGTAACAAGCCTCTGGCCTGAAGAGTGCATCTTGTGAATCTTGTGTTGTGTTCTCAGACCTACCCGTCGGTCCCAATCCAGTGCACTGCGCCGCCCTCACTTCAGGGGTGCGAACAGATTGAACTGTTTCGCAGCATATGCCGTGCGAGGTCTTGTTGGGCCCGCTTTTGACGACTGTGGTGCCACTGCCTTATAGCTTGTCATGTCAGTTCGTGTAATTTGTGTGCCAGATTCCGCTACCGGCAAGGCGTGCCCTGACGCGGCCCTTGCCAGTGGAGGCGGAGGAAGCTCGGGACCAAGAGTCGGAGATGGCAACATTGTTAGTATAAGTGTTCAAATCTCATGCAGGGTTCATCCCAAAACCCTGGTTTACAACGTATAGATATGAGGCGAGGACATGTCAGGCATTAGGTTATTTGAAAGCAGGCTACTGGAAGTGGAAGTCGCAGGTTTTACAGGTTCGATACGCCACAGACCACAACGGGACCCTTCAGGGCTGAATGTGGCAAGTCTCGTTTCTCCTGGAACACGTAATGACAGAACAGACCTCAAGTAGTTCACATATTTCAAGCGGCCGCTTGAGCACACGCCTGCCTAAGCAATGCTGGTGCGCTGCAGTTGCACCACGCTCTTCACTCTTCAGGAACAAGCGTGGAACAAGAAGATTTGGTACAACTGCCCGGATTTCTTCCAGCTGCTCCAGCCCCCGAAGGGTTCAACGCATTGTTTTCCCGTGTGCAGAGAAATTGCCAAAGCTTGAACTTTCTCAGAATCACTGAAATTATAGGAGGAGGGTGATCGTTAAGTGCGGGACGCCTTCAAAAGCCGTCCACTCCAGAATGCAGATTCAAAAGCTGTAATCGCCAGCTGGTGATATTGGCAGCAAATGATGAGTTGAATCATTAGAGAAGTACCTCAGTCCATCTGATCCCAGGTGGGGAACATGCAAACCACCCGTATGATGAAGATGCAGCCGGGGCCCTTCTTCACCACAAATCAAGGTTTCTTTCTCTGTTTTGCTTGAGCTTTGGTTCCGATTCGCTTCAGCTTTGCTTCGACTTCCGAGGCGCTATGTTGGCTCGGAGAGAGATGCTACGGCCTTCTACGCTGGCAGCATGACGGCCTCCTTTCTGCCGCTTGGCGTCTGCTGCCGTAGATCTCAAAAGACTCCTTTGAGCATGTTGTTCGATGTTGCTCGCTCTTCATGTATTAGTTGACCTTTCAGACAGGCTTGGGGTTCTGACGTTGGCCATGTGGCTGGTGCCCCGGCCTCAGATAGGTGAGAAGGAGCATCCGTTGAAGGGTTTTTAGACTTAACACACGAAAATCCTGGATTGCTTGTCCTCCAACGGAGCAGCGTTTTGTTTTTTTGTTTACGCTTCTTGAAAGTTTATCACGTGCGGTAATTCTTCCGGGAACCGGGGCGAGAAAGAGAACGGAGCGGTGGCCACGGAAGCAGGTGGGCGGACTTGCGGAAGAACGTCTCCGACACAAACAAGTACTGTATGGTTTGAGGACTTGTGATGGGCTTGGAAAGGCGGAGTCTCAGGTCGATCGTCTGCAAGCCAGGATTCGAGACCTCGCATCCGCGAAGCTCTGCGGAAGCTCTGCAGAAGCCTGCACGGCGATCACAAGGTCTCGGCCCTTCCCATTGAGTCCGTGCTCTTGAACACTCGACGCCGCAGCAGCTGCTGCGCTTGTAGCGATCCAAGTTTCAGCAGTGTTTTGTCGAGCGCGCTGTGGGCCACCCGACACGTGTTCGAGTTTATACCTTGCAGACCTGCCCGCGGAAGCAAGTTCTCAAAGCCACTCGAAATCAGCTCGCGGAAGCGTCCGCGGAAGCAAACGCAGGGGACGAGTCGAAACAGTACTTGCGGAAGGGCTTCGCGGAAAGGATTCGTGGTTTCGTAGAAAACCTTGCAAGAATTCAAACATATTAGAACCACAGCTGAACCGTTTGCGCAGCGGCACTTGCAGTATTTGGTATGTTTTCGCACTCTAATTAATGAACAAAAGGAATGGAAAAGAGACTTTTCGTGAAGAATTAGTATGCAATTCTGTAATGAATGTGATCTTTCCCAAAGTTGTCCAGTGCATCCCGTCGCATCACTCCCCCGTCCCTGCCGGATCCGCCCCCCGCCCAGGTGGGCACTCAGCGAGAACATCGACTTCAGCGACGTCACTTTCGGCGACACCCAGTCGGCCCCAGCCCCATCATATCAAGCCCGACATATAAAACATCGACACCCTGCGCGCTGGGGCGCTGGCTGCGTCTAGCATGGTGATGATGAGGAGCTCACGTACATCCGCTGGGTTTCGCCAGTTGCGGGGCGCCTCGTGGTCGGTAGCTGATTGGAGCAGCAGAAACTGACCGAGATATGAGGCAGTTGGCTTGGCGTACCTGATGTTTGGTTTGATCGTCCGCCGCAGAGCTTTTGTGAAAATTCAGGGATAAGAGTGCCGATCGTATAGTCACAGGGCGCGTTCTCTTGACTCTTTCATAGGTCTCCCTGCGTGTTGGCCTGGCCGGGAGCTACAACCACGGGGACATGCTGCTCCAGATGGTCACTGAGCATGAACAAGTCACGGTGCTGGCCTCAGCCCTGCGAGTGCCCTTCCTGTTCGCTGTTGGCTCATTTGAATCAATTCATTGAGAATTGTTTACATCTCCATGTTCCATACGACCTGAGATGAGCAACGGCCGCAAGCGGGATGCCCAGAGGCTGAAGGTATGCCGGAGGTTTCCGAAGGAATCCCTGTCCAAGGTCTGTGCGGCGCAAGACACTTGTTGGGCTGGTGGCGCAGCAGTTCGAAGACGAGGACTGCAAGCCAGAGCCCCAGAGCCCCAGAGCCCCAGAGCCCAGACCCCCGAATGCAAAAACCCTGAGCAGACTGTTCAGACGCGCGAGGCGAGACGCTCAGGTTAAACAAAAGAATGTGTGAGTGTGAGTGTGTGAGTGTGTGAGAGAGAGAGAGTGAGTGAGTGAGTGAGTGAGTGAGTGAGTGAGTGGTGAGTGAGTGAGTGGTGAGTGAGTGAGTGAGTGAGAGAGTGAGTGTGTGTGTGTGTGTGTCTGCCTGGCTGTCTGTCTGTGCACCTGTGACAATTTCAATCATACCACCAGATGATGTTGGGAAGGATGCAAAGTTCTAAATGGTCATTGTCTGCATAATATGTAAATTCATCACCAGATTATCCAGATGTTTCATTTCACCCCATACAAATCGTGTTTCTGATCCTTGTTGCTATGGTGATGGTACTGTATACCAGTGATGAGGATCTTGTGGTGTTAAATTGCAACAGTACATTGAAGTACCATCACTACATTCCACCAAATGCCACAACACGTTGCTGCAATTATTGCCACATGTACCTTTTGCTTTATTGCGGCAGCAGAGCTGGCCCAGCAAAGAGGGTGTCACGGCTGAGGTAGAGATCAACACCATGCGCCACCAGATGTTGAACAGCAATGCTTGTGACGCACAGAATCACAGAAGCGTTGGATTGATGCATCTTGAACATGGTTCCAACTGTTCGGTGGTTCGACTCGGCGTACATCCCTTTACTTGTTTGTTTTTTAGGGGGGGCAGCATATCTAATCCGCCATCTTTTAGTTCTAGCGTTAGTGGTTGGTACGTAGTCTCATCTTCTGTACGAAGCTCGACTATCAGGTTTTTCTGTGGTTGAAAGGTGGTCTGGGTGCCAGCCATCCCTTAGCCGAGTACTGACGTTGTCGTAACAAAGGCCGATGTCCGTTGGCCCGTCCAGGACAGACGGTGAGGCTTAACCCTCACCTTTCCGTTTCACTCGGCCGAGCGTTCGGGGTCTGTCGCTCGACGGAAGCGACCCCTCACTTAGTTTAGGAATTTTTGATCGGCACCTGAAGCAAGGTGATCATAAATGCTGCCTTGCGAATAGCCCTACTTACAACTACCCATGAACACCTTTCATGTAGTAACCCTAAACCCTAAACCCTAGAGCTCCCTAAGCTGGGAGCCACGTGCCGGGGGGAAGCCTCCCCTTGATGCACAGCAGCAGCAGAAGAAGAAGCAGAAGAAGAAAAAGAAGAAGAAGAAGAGCCAGAGATACATTTCGCTGTGTCGAACACTGTCGGCTTCGAGGCAGGCATGGTCATTGGAGCATTGGGTCATCAAGGTGCTGCTTCGAGGAGTCGTACAATTTGAGCTTTGACAGTTCATGACGTGAGTTTATGCATGAGTTTGTGGCGTCTCAAGCCTTGAAGACTCCTGACGTATTACGACATTACCATGAGACGTTTTTGTTCAAGCTAGTTCTTGTTGTTGCAAACATATCCTAGAAAGCCGGCATGTGAAACGATAAGTAAGATGTAAGTTACACTTGGGGGGGGGAGGGGGGGGCGATCTACTGCACAGGCATCTTTGTCTCAGGAGCGTTCTGCTACATAGACCTATGTTTTCCTATTGGCAGGTTGTACTACGTACGTAGAACTAGGTACTCGTATTTGTTTGTTTGGCAGATCTGTCTCTGTATCTGCTTGTTCCTTATTTTCCAAAACTGTATCCGCAAGCATATTCTCACATGTGTGCTGAAAGGATTGCATCTGATCGACAGCACTACCACAACGGATAGAAAATTGCCCGTGGGCTGTCGCGGACGCCCGGGGCTTTGGCCCCAAGCCCCAAGAAAGCAAGAAAGAAAGAACGAAAGAAAGAAAGAGTTGTTCCTCATGACGATTCTGTACCCCAACCCGACATGAAGGCCAATGAGCCGAAACTGTGAGAGCCTCCCTATGACACCGCGGGCGGGGCTCATCACGAGCTGGACTGTGGATTCTTGCGTGCCCTTCGGGGCAGCCTCCTCTTGGGGGGGCTATGCGTGTAGAGAGAGAGAGAGAGAGAAAGAGAGCGTGCAGGAGAGAGAGAGAGAGAGAGAGAGATTGAAAACAGCTTGTAACCCCACGGGGCGAAACCTGCCCTAAGACACTCGGACCGAGCAGTGGCTGGTGTCTCCCTTCGGGGGAGCATCTTCGCTGGGTAGAAGAAGAAGAAGCAGAAGAAGAAGAAGAAGAGGAGAGTGAGAGCGAGAGAGAAGAGAGAGCGAGAGAGAGCCAAGTACAGCAAATGCAGCAATCGCAGCATGTCGCTTGGAAGCAAGTGAGCGCGTTTCATCGTATGCCCTTGTGTGAAAAGAAGTACGCGAATTCTGATTGCTGTGCCTTGAACTCAGACTTTGTGACAAACCTTCGAGGCTGGCCTTTGACAAACTGAGCCGCGGCCTCGTTGGGTTAAAGGTGGTTCAAGGCTGCCAGGCTCTCACAGCTCGTTGCGGATGCTGCCGGCAGCTTGTGCAGGCAATTCACAGAAGGACAAGTTTGCAGAAAAACAAATGCGGCTGGGCTGAAAAGCAGCGTTCCTTCGAAGCCAAGCGGGATCCTCCAGCTCGCGTGCGCAGGCGGAACTTGGACCTCGTTTCCCGCATGATCAAAGTTTGCGGCTGTGTGTTTGTGTTGATGCTGCGGCCCTACTTGTCTCAGTGGCGACATCGTATGCATCTTCCATTCGCGATTCGATTCAACGCCCAAGGGCAACCGTTTTGTTGGCTGGGTGTGGTACGATGTGCTGTGATGCTTCTTGCTGCTGCCTTCTGCCGCGGGACTGCGCTGTGTTGTTGTGGATGTGGCTATTGGAAAGTCTCGTTGCGGCATGCTAGAAGCTGCTGGAATGTGCAAGTTCTTGCGATCACACTTTCGTGTGCAAGGTAAGACGGTTTGCTCCTTTTTTGTTAGGATGCGGGACGAGGGGGGAGGGGGGCATGGTAGGCGGGCCTGAGGGTCAACCGTACGATACGTTGGTGGGATGGCTGGAGAGGGGAGGGCCAGCACAAGGCGCAAAACCACAGGCCGTAGCGAGTCGATCCACCCTCATCAGGACTGCCTGTGTCAGCGCTGCTTGAGTCTGATTTGCTAAGCCCTATTATGCTCAAAGCCAGTTCCCAGTTGCCTGGTCACTTTTGGGATGTTTTTGAGGTTCGGCACCACGTGGATGGCCTCCCAGCTGGTTTCTTCCAGCAGCCACCTATCGGACTTGGTCGGAACCTGTGAAAACGATCTAGGCATGCTCAAGGAACTTTGCGGTAGAACAGAACTTTCGTTCTTTCACTCTTTCTCTCTCTCTCACATTGTGTGTTGAGGTGTTGGGGTTCCTGGGCGTTTTCAGCATCAGCTTCTGCCTCTTCGTGGCCGTCGCCTTCCAGCGCCTGAAGACAGCCCTTGGCCCAGTGCCAGAGGGCAACTCTGTGCACTGAATTTTGCTAGATTTTGCTTTGATGGCGATGTCGGTTTGCGTTGTGGCCCTACGATACTATGTGCACACTTACTGTAGGCTGAGGGCTGGGCCACGATTCCGTACTTCGGCAGGTCCAGTCATACCCACCCCCAACCACAGGTGTCCACTTCCCTTCATTGTGCCCATTTTATGCCTTGAGCTAAGTGCTGTGATACCCTATGTCCTTTTCCTTCTCTCCCCTCCTGCTTTCAGCAGCACAGTTGGCAAGTGGCAAGAACACAACGCGCAAAGCCGTACAAGACCTCTGTACCTTACAGTAAACCCTGCTGCCCCCTTCCGAAGCAAAAGTGGCAAAGACAAGGCTAAAGAGCAAATCCACCGGCAACCAACCTGAAGAGATGAACAATTCTACAACCGCCTTCGAAATAAAGAGGCCAGGCTACAAAGCTGAGTGGAGTGTACTGCCCTCGCCAAGTTCGGGATGTGCCCCCCCTTACATGTCCCTGTGCAAGCACTTCATGGCATATCATCAGGCTAGGGGCGCAAGGATCCCCCGATTCCTCAGCCATGGTCATCCTGTATAGCAGCAGCGAATGGCTGGAAGTTCTGTTCCGATATGTCGGGACAGTTTGGCCGCACATCTGGGGGAAGTGGCTTTGTTCTTCCCTGTACGCGATAGCCGCGTATCTCTTTGCCCTGGAAACAGGGCTGGAGTTTGGCTCCGAGAACCATTCCATGCTGCTGCCTCTCTCTGTGACCTTCCTCCTCATCTTCCGTGCAAACGAGGCTTATGCGAGGTACTGGCTAGGGCGTTCCACTCTGTCGAACTACATCTCTGAAGTCCGGGAGGTGTTGTTGCTGTCGATCATTTATGTTCGCGGCGGCCTTGAGTCGTCCATCCACCTTTTTCACCGAGGGCCCGGGATGACGCTGTCCTCATGCGTAAAGCCGGACCACTACGACGAGAAAGCCAGGAACTACCGCGTCGACGTTGCGCGCCTTAGCGTAGCCCTGGCAGTCGCTTTCAAGCTGCACACAAGCATTGCACTCGACGGATATTGCTTTGGCAGTATCGACAAGGAGACCAAGTGGTATCTTGACTGGGACCGCCTCCGTTTGTTGCAACTTCTCACAGAGGAGGAGTTCGAGGTTGTGAACCGTTGTGTTGGCCTTGCAGAGGAGGAGTCCGTTGCCGAGACCCGCCGCCGGCTTGCGAGCCAGTTCCACAACGCGCAAAGCTTAGAAGGACCTCCCAGCACCTGGGATGAGGAGTTCCCTGTGAAGTTCGATAGATATGTTCGGGTGCCGGTTGCCATCGTCTGGTTCTTGAGGGAGGTGCTCTTCAGGAACATGAACGACCCCTTCAATACCCAGCCCTGGGGTATCAAGGATCGATTCGTCGGAGCCTTGGTGACTTTGTTGGGTGGCATCTTGGAGTCCTTCGAGGTCGCCCACATGGTGTGTACCACACCGATTCCTTTGCCCTACGCGCATTTGTGCAAGACGCTGCTCTGCTTCTATTTTCTATCGGCCCCCTTCTTCGTGGACCCGAGTCGGGGATGGTTTGCCAACACCCTGGTGCCCTCCATCATCTCCTTCGCCCTGCTGGGCGTCGACTCCATCGCCACGGAGCTCGAGCGCCTTGGAGCTGTCGAGAGCCAGAGCTTGCTTCTTTAGTCAATCGATACGTCTGCTGTGTGCTCTGAGAGATCCACAGGTATTTACCTGCTGTCTCTGACTGTAGGGCGTCTATTTGGGGTCTTTCGCCTTATCTCAGCAGCTCCCTCTCAAGCTTTCTCTCTCTCTCTCCCTCTCTCAGGAACCCTTTCGGGGACGACGTGAATGATTTGGATCAGCTTGAGCAGGTGCACATCCTGGAGCGCGAGGCCATGGAGCTCCTGAGGCAGTCAGGGGACATCCGGGGCTGCAGCGTCTTTGGGTGGCAGGAGGTCCCGGACTTTGTGAGCCGCAGGTGCTGCCGCAGTCTGAAGACGCAGCTGGTGGTGAAGGACTTGGCTTTGCTCCAGGTGATGCCTTTAGTGGCCGAGGAGGATGTCGTGCCTGCCTGGCTGCTGGACCGCAAGGAGGAATCTCGCCAGAAGGCCGCAGCCTGGTCCCTTGTACTCTAAAAGTTCCGCGGAAACTCCCCTCGAACTGTCCCAACGCGGATATCGGGGGAAAAAATCGTGCAGAACGAGAAAAGGTGCGGAAGGGAATGAGAACCTGTCACAATCTGGGCCAGCAAGGTCATGGCCGACTGGTGCAAGGCACGAGACATGATGGCAATTGTGCATCACTAGTGCATCTGTATACCATCGAATGACGGTGCCCCTTTGCCTCAGAACCTGCCGCTCTACCGGCTTTCCTTAAGCCTGTTCCAGAGCCGGGCTCTCAGCCTTTCAGGTTCGCCAACCCCGGGGTGCCCAGCCCGTCTGCAATTGGCAAATCCCATAATATGGCCGTTGCTCAGAAAGGCGACTGGGTCCGCGCACTGCTCGCCGCGCAGCCAGAGCACAGGAGAGAGAGGGCTTTCTCTCTCCCTTTCTCTCTCTCTCTCTCTCTCTCTCTTGCCCGAGAATCTCACACCAATGATTATAGGCTTTTTGCGGGAGAGTTTTCCATGGCTCCACAAGAGCTCTTAACCGAGGCCTTCGCCTTCAGCCCCTTGGTTCCCATCGTGTTCCTGCCTTAGAGTCTCTTCAAGTCTTAGGAGCCTTGAAAGAAATCAGTTAAGTTCCTTTATTCTACAATGTTAACTTGTGAAATCAATGCCCCACAACATGCAGCAGAACATCTCACGGCCCTACACAGCCTCTCCGATATTCAGCCATCGAGCCTCAGGTTGGTTCTCTCCTGCATGAACCAGAAGGTTCGCAAGTTTCGGGGCCTGCCAACGATCACCTACGAGGTGCATGCCGCGTGTGATTTTTGGGGCCACTGTTGCTGGCAGACCTGTGAGTCTGTAAGGCGGGTGAGAGCTCGCGGGGGCCCTGGCGGGCCAGTGTTGCTTGCTGCTTGCGGAATAAGCTAGCTCCTTCTTGCAAGAAGCGATCCGCGTTGAGGGTCGCCTTCTCACCGGACACCGACGCGGCCCGGGAAGAGGGGTGAAGAAGGGTGCTGGAAGGTGTCAGCATCAATACCTCAATACTTGCCAGGAGCAGCTTTGGCTCACACAACGCGTCTCCTACCAGGCCCCGGCTCTTTGTGACTCCCCTTGTGTCGCGCGCCAATTTTGCGCATCTGTGTATATCTGTGTATCGCTGCCTCTTGCTAATTCTTGGTGTATAGGTGGAAGCGATGAGAGAAGACTGGGAATGGATCTCCATCTTCATGAAGATGTATGTTTTCGGTGGGGACCCTGGGTTCAGAGATCGTCCCCAAGAGCTCAATTCCAACTCAGTGCACTTGCCGAAGCTTAGACAGTAGCATAAGAAGCTCTGGAATAAAAGGATGCTTGGGGATTCCACGCGAAAGGCCTCTTGATGCTGCTCTACGTGACCTTTCCCATCCTCTTGAACATCTTCCTCTCATGGCCCGGGGCCATGTACGGAAGATACGAAAACGCGGCTCAAAAATCACCCGAAAATGCAGTTGCAGGGTCTTCAGAATGTGTTTGTTTCTTCTGTTTCGGGTTGTTGAGAGGGTGAGGAAAGACGTCTTTGTCGTGAGCTCTCTGCAGGCTGAGCTCCTCGCTCCAGGGTTTCGACTTCGGTGTGGTCTGCCTCCTCATCGTCGTAGCAGGCGCTTAGGGCCAGTCCCTGCCAGATGTCGGACGAACTGTACGCAACAGTATTTGTGTGTATATATATATATATGTATATGTTCCAGGCATGTGCTGCTTCCTGCTGCCTCCGGCCCCAAGCTTGTATGCTGCTGAACATCCGTGAGTTTCCTGCACTCAATGGCACTTCGAGGTGCCGGGGGTGCCAGTCTACCTCTTTGCGGGCATCATCATCGCCGACAAGTGTCCGCAGGGCCTGCGCCTGATGCCACGATACTCCGCGCAGGAGCGACCGCAGGAGAGACCGCAGGAGATCAGAGACTGGATAGCCCGAAGAGCTGCAACAAATCAGAGAAACGTGAACCACAGAAGCGGGAGAAAGCCAGAGAGAGAGAGAGAGAGTGAGACCCCCCTCGACCCACAGGAGCCACGAGAGCCACAACAGGCACAGGCCCCCCCAAACCGCGAACTACACAACGGAGCGCACCCAGCGGACGTGCTTCACCTGGCCAAAAGGGGGCAGGAAAGCAACAAGAACCGGAGGCCAAACCAGCAGCACGGGGGCTTAGCCACTGCGCCTCCTGGCCAGTTGATTCCCTTCCTGGTGCAACAAGAAGCAATAATGGCAACCCACGCCCTGACAGCACTGGACGAATGGCTGGGAATGCAATGGGGGGAAGAGATCTACCTAGTAGTCGACTCCCAGCCACCTGCGCAACACGATGACCCAGCACATCACTCACCGGCTACCATTCCCTGGCAGCCTCCAGCGATAGACCGATAGACTGCGAAAAGGGACAAGGAGGCCGCAACACACAGACGGGACAGTCGTGCGAGAAGGGAGAAGAAGGGGCCGACTCGACGGAAGAGTTCACGTCGCCGGGGGACGAAGATCAAGAGGGGCAATGGAGCGAGCCACCTGGGCCATCCAGTGGTGAGACGCGCTCTCTCTCTCTCTCTCTCCACACGCTTAGCCCCCCTCTCTCTCTCTCTCTCTCCACACGCTTAGCCCCCCCCCCCCCCGAGGGGAGAGCTGCCCCGAAAGGCCAGTCCGAGGATTGTTTGAACACCACGAGCCATGGTCTTCACAGCCTGCTACGTCATCGACCCATCGGTCGAGGGGGTCGGGTGCCAACCATGCGAGACATAGCAAAGCTCGGGACCTTAGTGCTATCAACCGATGGGTTTTCCCCCCTGTGCCCCCATTTAAGGAAACTAATCACTGCTTGCGCCCTCATGTGTGCGACGACGTCTCGAGTCCACGTCTGGTAAAGGTTGCCGAGGACGTTGTCGGGGTTCCTCTTCGGGGGGCCTCCTCGCTGGGTAGAAGAAGAAGAAGAGCGAGCGAGCGAGAACGCGAGAGCAAGTGCGATAGCGAGAGAGCCCCCCCTCCCCCGTCGCTGTCCCGTTTTCACTGAGGCTTCGAGGCGGGGGCCGCCATCGCCATCGGCGTGGGCTTCGTGCTGAAGCTGATGGCCTGCGCCATGCAGCAGCCGGCACCTCGTGTCATCATGGGTCACCACGTCTTCACCACGTCTCCTCACAGCCCTGTGAAGTGGAGAGCTCGGTTCAGGAAGCTCATTGGAGAATGCCTCGGTGCAAATCTCACCATACGAACACAGGCAGACACGCACAAACTCTGGCACTTCTTATTCTATTAAGTGGCTGCCGTGGATGTGCCAAATGTGCAGGTCGGGATCAATACGCCCATGATTCGTGCCATCGAGGCCTGGAGATCACTGGAGATCCGCTGCAATGTGTGCAACTTGCAGATTGGAGAGCTGCATGTTCAATGTTGTTACACTTCCCTCCATTTGAGTATCCTATAGCCGCTAAAGCCGCTATAATGGCCTTTATGATTTAGATTTCTGGGAGAGTTGTCTTTTCTTTCTCCCTCACGCGTTCCGTGTGCCGCCAATCCAGGCAGTGCTCCGCAAGCCGGGCATGAGCATCGGCAAGGCGCACTGGCTTTAGAGAGGCATTCCAGGGTGTTTACCGGTGGGAGTTTAAAGATGTGTTCTAGATGTGTTTTGTAGGGCCAACCTTCCATCAACATCAACCTCAACCTCTGAATGCATAATCGGTGTATGCTCAGTGGCTCAGTGGCAGATTGGAACACTGGTCCGCGCACCCCCACGTTCTTGATCATGTTGGATTGGTCTCCGCCTGTTCCCTGAGAGAAGCATTGAGGTGTCGATCCTCTGCGGTGGCCCTGACTGGCCGCGGCCACAGAGACTTCGACGGGCCCGAAGGAGTTCCTCCGGTCTATAAGTCCCACAGTGCTCGCGCGTTGTAAACTTGTTGCCCTTGATCTTGCCGGCACATAACATAGTATCACAGAGTATCCGTAGAGGCAGAAGACGTGTAGTAGAGGCAGTATAGGGCAGCCATTTGCCCTAGTTGATTTTGCCTCCTTCTGGGGACTTCGATTGAGCTTTCCTCAGGCCGACCTCCGTGCTTGCGGGCATCCTGCGCCTCTCTCTCTTCGAGTGCGAGCTCGGCACCTTGTGGGCGGCCAAGAGTGGACAGCAAAAAGGACCAGAACCAACAAGCAATGTATGCGGTCTAGCGCCAAGTGGTATATAGTGGTATATTGCAGGTGCACATAGTACCTTGCGATAGAAAGACTAGACGAATCCGACAGTTCGGCGCTTGAAGCCTCAGGCCTATCATCTTCTTTGTGGCTGCTTGCTCCCTTTCGGGATCCTTCTATCTGAAGCAGAACGAGAGTGAGGCGTGGCATGGCATGGAAGGACAGTGCTGTTGTGAAGAACGGGCAAGAACAAAAACACAATTTGACCGCCCAGTTGTGGGACCGAGCGGCCACGTTCATGATGTCCGCCATAGGCTCAGTTCCTGTGCGGATCCGTGCACAGGCGTTGGCATGAAGTGCCAGCTAAGCCGTTGAGGCATAAGTCAGTTGAATAAGTTGAGCACACCTAAATCGGAGACGTTTGGCATTTGGAACACAGACGACTGAGGGGTCGTTGAAAACCTTCTGAGGCCTCGGTGTTCTTGTGCATGCTGCTGCAGGCACGGGTCCGAAAGTTGGGTTGGTGTGTCGCTGTCCTCAAAGGTGACGATCATGATGATGACGATGATGGTGGCGGTGATGGTGAAGATGGTGTAGATGATGTTGGTGTTGTCGAAGACGAAGATGATGATCATGTTCATGTTAATGTCAAGGTTGATGTTAATGTTTTTGGTTGTTGTTGTTGTTGTTGTTGCTGTTGCTGGTGCTGGTGCTGGTGCTGCTGTTCCCTTCGCCGCCGCCGGCGGCGGCGCCGCCGCCGCCGCCGCCGCCGCTGCTGCTGCTGCAGTTGTTGCGATTGTTGTTGTTGCTGTGCCGCAAGCAAGAGGTAGTATTCGGCCTCGTGAAAGGATAAGAATAGAATTTACAACAAGGTTGAAGCCCACAAAAAACCATAAACTGGCTTAGGGAAGCATAAGCTGTTGGCATGTTGTCAAGCGGCCACGAGCATTTCAGTCTGGAATGCAAAACTCAGGGTTTTGGCTTATGGGTTTAGATAAGGGGGTGGGGGCCCTTGTACGTGGTAATTATGTTGGTGTCTTCATGTATGTCTTCCTTCTGCTTCAACTTGTTCCATTCATTCCTAATGTTCTCTGCGTAGGTGTACCTTGCGCAGGGGCTCGCGAGCAAAACCAGTTGAGCACGTCGGTTGTTGCCAACACTTCCTTGAAACTAGTCTGCGTTGTCACACGCTGCCAGTATAAGGTTGGAGAGATGTCCACATACCCACATTTCGTACACACACACACACACATGCACACGCGCACAAGGGGCATCAAGCTAAATCAAAAACCAAGCAGCACGTGCGCGGTTCTTGCTGTGAGTTGTGCTATGAGACGTGTGCTCAGAGTGCGGTTGCTTTGCCAACTCTGCCTCGCCTGACTGATTTTTGAATTGTTTTTGCAGATCATGGGCGCCTGGGCCATCCAGACGCAGCTGGATCAAAATGAGTGGGAGGCCGATGTGCGGGACTTGCAATTGTGTTTTAATGTGTCTTACTCACAAACGAACAAGAACACACACTCTCTCTCCCCACACACACACACACACACACACACACACACACGCACACGCACACGCGCACGCGCACGCGCACGCGCACGCGCACACGCACACGCACACGCACACACTCTCTCTCTCTCTCTCTCTCTCTTCCACGTACACACACACACAATCACACACACACACACACACACAGAGACGCACGCACGCACGCACCCTACCCACCCACCCACTCACCCACCCACCCACCCACCCACCCACGCACGCACGCCTGCACGCACGCACGCATTCGCACGCACACTCACGCACGCATTCTCCCGCACGCACGCCCGCATGAAGGCAATGCATGGCATACGCACGCAAGCACGCACGCATGCACGCAAGCACGCACGCATGCACGCAAGCACGCACGCATGCACGCACGCACCCACACACACACATCCGTCGGCACTTCTTCTAGTTTCTCTAGGGTGCAATTGACTCTCCTTTTTTGGGTCACTGTGGTCAGTTGACGAAGCCCTTGGAGCAGAATGTTGAGCTCGACTGGCTCGACTTCCGATGGCGTGAGATGTCACGAGCAGCCGCAGTGAGGTGAGCTTCTGACAATTCCAATGATCCCAATCCCAATCGGCACTCCTATAAGAACTGGACTGACAGACACGTTTTGGAGGTGGTCCGACACTCCAGTCTGGCTGAGAGTGGTGACCCTTTTCGGCATCCTTCTTCAGGCACGAGCCTGAGCTTGACGAAGCCTTCGACCCGAAAGAGCGAAAGAGTGCCGAAAGAGTGCTGCAGTGCTGTGCAGTGCTGTGCTATGCCGTGCTATGCCGTGCAGTGCTGCGCAGTGCTGTGCAGATGCATGTCAGGTGCTGGTGGGGCAGGTCTTCTACTGGAGGCACGGATCTTAAGAATCTACGAGTCTTTATCCAAGCGAATCTCGACTGCCGGGGAGGTCCTCTCTGTGTGCGCCTCCCAGTTCTTCGCTGCCTCTCGCTGCTTTTGCAGCACGTTAGCATGGCCTGTCGGGTCTTTCTTACCAGATGCTTTTGCCAGGTTTCGGCGAGTTCGAAGTCACGGACGACATCAACTCCCTGCAATGGTGGGTCGACGGCGAGTCGGGGCTGATCCTTCTTCCAGGACAGCTGGGCCTTTCACACTGATTTGCACGGCGCATGCAGTCAAGCAGCATGATGTGCAGGACTTGTCTGCTGCTGCCTGTCGATAGGAGGCAGATGGGCCTCTATTGCCAATGTTGCCAATGTTGCCAATGTTGCCGGCTGCTGACTTTTTTTGCGCAAGGCTGGGCCTTCTACTTCATCCTCAGCTGCTGGCTGAAGAGACAGCAAGCCAAGCCTTTCGCAGACATGGCGAAGCGACTTGATGCCATCGAAAAGCGATGGAAGGAGCCGGGTGCAGCTGTGTTCTGAGGCAGCTGAGAGATGGGACGCACACGGGCAGATTGGCGTTTCTACCGGCATACCTTAGGTGCCAAAGGGGCTGTTTTTGTCATAACAATGCGCTCACTTTATTTTAAGGGGCTGCGCCCATGGGCGGGCAGCGCACGCAGAAGCCCGGGGCGAGCAGTTTCTAAGCATGTTGAGGCCCCTAAACTCCCTTCAAATCTCTAAGCGTTTGAGGCTCCTAGACTCCCTTAACGTTTCTAAGCACTTGAAAAGGCCCCTAAACTCCCTTTTTCCTAGTAGACACGTCGCTTATGCCCGCCCTTTGGGGGGCATCATGCTCCTGATGCGCCCGCGGGGTCCCGCCCCGGGAGCCGCTGATGCTCCTGATGCGCGCCTGGGGGTCCCGGGCTGGACCCGCTGATGCTCATGATGCGCGCCCTCTGGGGGCCTCCGTGGCGACGCAAAAAACCACGAAAAAAAACCGTTTACCGGCGGCACGCGGGGGTCGGCGGCACTGGCGTCCGGCCTAATTCTGCTTCGCAGAAGGCCAGAGGCCAGCAAGGCTATTCCCGGGACGACCCGGGCTAAAAGGTCCGCATTTGCTCGGTCCTTTGGGGACCTCGCGCTGCCCGATTTAATGGCTACCGCCAGTGCCGCCGACCCCAGACCCAAGACAGTCGCATTGGGGCGGAAGGCAGGGTGGAGCGCGGGCAGGCGGGGGGGGCGGGGGCGGGGGGGGTGGGGGTGGGTGGGGGTGGAAAGGGGGGCGGCGGGGGTGGGGGGTGTGGGGGGTGACGGTGTCGGATTAGGGAGTTGGGGGCGGAAGGCAGGGGTGGACTGGGGGGCATAGAGATGAAGAAGCGATGAGAGCGGTGAGAGCGGGGGGGCGGTCGGATGGTGCACGATTGGGAGGGGGTAATGGAGTGGGGATGGTGGGGAGGGAGTGGGAGGGGGGGGGGAGGCGGTTGGGGGGGCAGGGATTGGAATCCCTCAAACTCGAGATTTGTCAGGGGCGGAGAGTAGGGGGTGGGGGGGGGGGTCGGGGGGGGGGGCGGGGGGGGTGGGGGGGGGGGGGGGTGGGGGGGGGGGGGTGGGGGTGGGGGGGGGGGTGGGGGGGGTGGGGGTGGGGGGTGGGGGGGGGGGGGGGGGGGGGGGTGAGGCGGTGTGAGAGCGTCGAGGGCGGCAAAGCGGGCTGGGACTGGTTTCCTTAGGTCAGGGGAGTAGGGGGGGGGTGGGGGGGGTGGGGGGGGTGGGGGGGGGGGGGGGGGGGGGGGTGGGGGGGTGGGTGGGGGGGGGCGGGTGGGGGGGGGTGGGGTGGGGGGGGGGGGGGGGGTGGGGGGGGGTGGGGGGGGGGGGGGTGGGGGGTGGGGGGGGGGGGGTGGTGGGGCATGCACTGGACCCTTTAAACCACCTGAATGGATGGGGTGGGGGGGGTCAAAGGTCCAATTCAAGGCGTCATGGGTGAGGGCGATGGGTGGCGGGGTTTGGGCATACACTGAAGCCAAACAATGCAAAAACACTCCAATTCAAGGTGTCATGAGCAGCATGCTGTGAGAGCGGGTGAGGGCGGTGAGGGCGGTGGGGGGTCTTCACTGACGCCGCCCTGCTACCGCTGGGGTCGGCGGATATGAAGCCCCCTTCAAAAAAAACCCCCCGAGAATCTCCAAGCGCAGGACCAGCGCCGGGACCTCGCTGCGAAGCTCGCAGCTCTCGGCGCCTGCAGGGACAACTGGGAGGCTCAGAGCCAAGCCCGAACATCCCTTAATGGATACTCTTTGACAACCCCTACATGCGAAGGAAGTGGAGGAAGCCAACGAAGCGGCCCAAGAAATGCTGAGGAACGCACGGGCGGTGGCCACCGAGTAGGGTGCGCCTGCCAACGCATCCGTGTCACAGAGCTTAACTATATACTGCTACTCGTAGCAATTGTCGCGCTCCTTGCTGCAGGCGATGCCTACTCCCAAACAGTGCCCGCACACTCATCCTCCGTCGAAGACGGACTGGCAAGGGAGGTGCGGAAGCACGTAGAGGCCCTTCTCTCATTCACGGGCCCAGCACAAGAATAGCATGATTTCAGCTGCAGCATGCCCCATATTGTACCAGAGTTGGTGAACCGACTTGTTCCGCCGATGTTGCCATAAGGGCCTTTCTCAGAAAGCCGCCACGCAGTTGGATCCTGCAGCAGTCCCTTCGGTCGCGCGGAACAGCGCGTTGGCTAGAAGCACCGGAAAGGCATTGGCTGTGAAGGGGCGAAGGTCTTTGTGAGAGCCGGAGTTATCTGTTTCGTTTTACCCCTTGCACTCTGGCCTGCGCAACACAACCCTGCGGAGACTTGGGAGTTCGGGCGGGGGCTGGGATGTAACGGGGGGGTCGCCGCTGCTTTGGAGCTGCTGAAGTTTTCAGAGTGAGTGGCACGGCGAGTGAACCCCTTCATGCTCTCGCGTCTTCCGAGTTCACAGAGTCAGAGTTTATGACAAGTTCCTCACTCAGATATCAGGGCCATGTTCTAGTCAATGATGCACATACTTGCCACGCCGACATGGCGCTGACTCTTCCTGGGTCAGCCGGGTGCTTACGGGAGAGAGAGCGAGAGACAGCCAGAGATGGAGGGGGAAAGAAAAACTGGCACTGGGCAAAGGTGGAGAGGCATGTTCATCTGCAGTCGGTTTGTTCTGAGGGGAGTTTCACGACAGAACAGGACTTCGGGCGCGCTTGTGCGCGAAGGGTCCTCGGGGCCCCCCGGAAGGTTCGGCAAGGTTCTGAAGGATTGACGAAAGAACTTACAGCAAACGTGGAGGACAAACTTCAGGAATGAGGGTGGGGATGCAATCTGTGCTGCGAAACTCGCCCTCACAGAACGAAAGAACGAGTGCCAGGATGGGTTCGTCAGAGTTTTGTTAGGCAACACGAATTCGAACGAGGCCACGCCGACCACCCATCTATTGCTGGCCGCGCGGAGTTTGCAGCCTCGGCCCAAAGCAACAAAAGAAGAGATGCGAAGGGGACGTGCCCACCCAGTCCTCGCAGTCTTGAGTCCTTAGGCCCATGCGGCAGCGATGGCAGCGGCGGAGCGAGCCGGCTGCTTCCGAGGTTGAATACGAAGTTTGCATGAGTTCTGAATGCCCTCTTGGTGCATGTAGCAAAACCACGTCGGGCTGCTCAGACATGCTCAGACTGTCGGGCACAGGAGACAGGGACGAAGAGGCCGGCGACCGTGGCAGTCATCGGTGGAGAGCCCCAGTACCACTCCGTACCGTACGACTCGGTATGACTGGCTTCGGTTTTCTCCGTGTCACGAGGTGGGGGCGTGGCTGGCTTGGCATGTGCTCGGCGCCTAGGCAGGACGGAGTCTCAAGTTCATGAACGATCGAATCAGAAGCAAATAAATGACGAGATGATCGACATGCATATGTGAGAGACGAAAAAAGTTTGCTGCAAAAGAGGTGTTCTCACCATGTGACTTTGCATCTCTTGAAGAGGTGCTCTGGGCCTGAAGGCCACGGTCTTTGACACGGGCAAGCGGGGGCCGGTCGCCCGGAAACCGAACCACTTCAACCGTTTGCGATAAACATCTTAGTCTTCACAGCCATGTATGAGAATGTATGAGTATTCTCCTCTTTGTCGCCGTTCTTGTACAGCACAGAACGTTCAATTGCCCTTGACCGAATCTGCAGCAGTGCTTTCAATTGGAGGCCCGGCGGGCGGGCCTCCTCTCGCACCTGGTGCCGCCCTCTTTCTTTGTCTTTGCTGTTTTTTTCCGTGACCTGCACTCTGTGTGTAATTCAGGCGCGGGCAGCTTTGTGACCATGCCAGTCAGTTCGTGACGGCCACGGACAAGGACTTTGCAGAGCTGCTCGCCTCCTCAGGACGCCACGTGTACGCCACGTTCAACTCATATATATATATATATATGTGCCATGGACCTTTAGGTATAATGTGATTACTTGCTTTGGGTTTTACTTCAACAGTATTAACACTTATCAAATGAGTAGTTTGCGTTTCATATTATGCATATTGCTACTAGAAAAGTAGGTGACATTTTATGTCTTTTGGGTTCATGGTCTAGGGTCTAGGGTTGTGCATTCAACGGTTATAAAAGGATTGTACGAACAGTCCAGGGTGTATGACCCCTTCCCGTTGTCGAGGAGAAAAAGGGGTCGGAACAGGAGAAGATCAAGGAACCATAGAACTCTTTACATTCAGTCACTATTCACTTTACACCCTCTCCTCTCTTCCCTTTCTTGACTTTGGGTAGAAGAAAAGGAAAGTGGAAGGAATCATCAAAGAAAAAGTCAGTCTCACTACCTTCATCCACCGTCTCCTCTTTTCGCTCTCTCTCTGTCTCACTCTCTCTCTCTCTCGCGCTCTCTCTCTCTCCCTCTCTCTCTCTCTCTCTCTGTCTCTGTCTCTCTCTCTCTCTCTCTCTCTCTCTCTCTCTTGGCTCTTCTTACCGAGGAGAATAATGGCTACATATAAAGAACACATGTCAATCTCAACCCATTCATCCTCCCTCTTCTGTCTGCTCTCTCACTTCTAGCTTTTGTCTCTTGTTTTGCTTATGGAGGAGAGAATGCATAACGCTAGATGAGCGAAGCGCATGGACGGGAAGAGCGAGAAGCAGGTAGTTGTTTGTTGCATAGGGGAGGCCCACTCCCCGTAGAGCAGGAACGAGTTCCCCTGTTCCCTTCCTTTGCCTTCTTTAGTCCCTCCCCTGCGCTCCAACTGTTCTGTTCCGTCTTTTAAGGAGAAAGAAGGGGTAAAGAAGAAGGACGAAGACGGTTCCACTGTCCACTTATGCATGTTCATTTTATCTACAGGTGTTAGCAAGAGTGTTTAAGCAAGCTAGATAAAGTGAACAACAAGAACAAGGACGAGGAAACCACGAGCAGAATGTACAAGGAAAACACGAGGAATGAAAACCCATCGCAAAGAGAAGTGCCCACACTCAGTCTCACTGCACTCATCCTCTAATCCTCTCTTCTTTCTCTTCTGTGGTTCTCTTCTTATCCTACTTCTTCTCTCTGCTCTCTCCCTTCTAGCTTGTGTCTCTTCTTGATTTTCTTGCGCGAGAGAGAATGCATAACACTAGATGAGCGAAGCACATGGACGGGAAGATGAGAGAGAAGCAAGTAGTTAGTTGTTTGTTGCATCAGGAGGCCCACTCTCCCCCTAGGGCAGGGATGAGTTCCCCTGTTCCCTTCCTCTTGCCTTCTTTAATCTCTCCCCTGCGTTCCAACTCGTCCGTTCCTTCGTTTACGGAGAAAGAAGGGTGTATATACAAGGACGACGACGGCTCCCCTGTCCAGCATGTTTTTTTGATCTTCCCATTCAGCGAGAAAGGAACAGACAACAGGGGAAAACACAAGGAACTAACAAGAGTGTTTAAGCAAGCTAGATAACAACAAGAAAAAGAAAGAGGAAGCCGCGAGCAGAATGTACAAGAAAAACACGAGGAAGGAATAAGTGATGCTCTTCTTGCAGAATGAAGATTTGAGAACACAAGCCAATCTCAAAAGAAAGAGGAAGCCACGAGCAGAATGTACAAGAAACACACAAGGAAGGGATAAAGATAAGCGCCCTTACCCAGTCTCACTGCATTCATCCTCCATGTGGTTCTTTTGTTACAGAATGAAGATTTAACAGCACAAACCAATGTCACCACATTCATCCTCCCTCTTCTCTCTGCTCTCCATGGAGGAGAGAATGCATAACACTAGATGAGCGAAGCACATGGACGGGAAAAAGGAGAAGCAAGTACTTGTTTGTTGCGTAAGGGAGGCCCATTCTCCCCCTAGGACAGGGATGAGTTCCCCTGTTCCCTTCCTTTTGCCTTCTTTAATCTTTCCCCTGCGTTCCAACTTTTCCGTTCCTTCGGTTGAGGAGAAAGAAGGGGGTATATACAAGGACGAAGACGGTTCCCCTGTGCCCCTGTCCAGCATGTTCTTTTGATCTTCCCATTCAGCGAGAAAGGAACAGACAACAAGAGGAAAGCAACAAACCTTTAACTAACGTACGGTTCTTTCAGGAGAAAAGGAGTCGGATAACAGGAGAAGAACAAGGAAGAGGTAAACATGAAAACACGTCACTCTTCTATTTACACACTCTCCTCATCTCTCCTCTCTTCCCTTTCTTGCCTGTTGGAGAAGAAATGAGGAAGAAAATAAACCAAAAAATAAGGGGGAGGCGCCCTGATTCATTCTCACTGCCTTCATCCATCCTCTCCTCTGCTCTCTTATCTTGCTCTCTTATCTCTCTTCTCTGGCTCTGTTCTTGCCGGAAACAAAGATGAATGTCCAAGAACCCAAGATCATCTCGTTACCTTCGTCCTCGCTCACATCTCTTCTCGCTTTTTCTCTGCTCTTTGCTTTTCTTATGGAGGAGAGAATTGCAAACAGTCTCGCGAAGTCAGATTTGGGGCTGCGCGTGTGCACGTGGGGGGGCAGTAAAGTTGCAAAAAGTGGCCCCTCGCAGGGCTGAGTTCCCCTGTTCCCTCCAGTTTGTCTGCAATCCACCCCCCCTGAGTTCCAACAGTTCTGTTCAGATAGGACAAAACGGCTCCCCTGTTCATGTGTGCGTGTTCTTTCAACAGACTCATTCAGCGAGAAGGAACAGACAACAAGAGGAAAACACCAAGGAATGAACAAAAGTGTTTTTTCTTCTTTCTTATCAAGGAGAAGGACAAAGAACATTTCAATTGTCGTAACTCTCCTCTCATCCCTTTCTGGTCTTTGGGAGGAAGAAAGAAAGAAGGAATAAACAACAAATTCTGAGAGGCACCACTATTCAATCTCACTACCTTCATCCACCCTCGCCTCTCTTCTTTCTCTTCTTTGAATGTTTGTGTAAGGACACAAATCCATCTCACT